AGGCGGAGGCATTATATACACAAGATGATGACACCATTGATCATGGTAACTTTTTAGAGATGATTGTTTTGCTGGGAAAATATGATGTGTGTCTCAAGGAACACCTCACTCTCTGTACAGAGAGGGGTTCAGGTGGAGTGGCTGCACCCGTAGGATAGAAAAGGGGGAAGTGACGTCTGACTCAGAGGTCGCACGGCTGTGGAGAAGAACGTTCATTCAGAACCCACATTCTGTTACTGAGTTTAGGCTAGTTAGCGAGCAGGTTTATTGTTCTGGGTGCAGTCACTTTTGCCTCCACTTGCTGTTCAAATAAATGTTGAAAGAAAAAGTAAATCTGTTTACAGTTCTGTTTCATATTGGTGTTGAGAGATGTATCCATAGCTTTAGTCCCTAATTTTGCTCTCCAAATGCACCAGATTGATGCATTTAACTTCAACATTTTAAAACAAATCTTCCCGGGGGAGCTTGCCCCCGGACCCCCCTAGAGGAGGTGAGGTCCACCACCTGCCCACACCCCCTGTCAAATTGTTTCACCCACATTGAGGATGCTTCCTACCCCCATGTTTTATTCCATGCGTCAAGTCAGGCAAATTGGGTCCAAATGTTATTGCATCAATGATCTGTTAACATTAAAATCACTAAATATATGCTGTAACTATTTTGCTCTAGGCAACTCAAGGGCTCAGGTAATGTGATGACTATATGAATAATGGTCCAAAATAACATAAAATGCATAGGGTTTTTTGTTAAGTAACATACTTTCGTCGCCGGCCGGCCGATACATGCCGCGCATTAAGTGGGCCTGTCTGTCAATTAATCCCCGGGCCACTTTTTCCCCCCAGTCCGCCCCTGGTATAAACTGAGTTAGATGCCCAGCAAGACGGATTATTTTAACTAATAGCGGTGACATTTGACATTGATGAAGAAACTCTTAAATGTGGAATTATTACTTCATGACTTATCCATGATCTGCTTAATAATGTCAGTGTTGGATTGGTGCATCCCTAAACGTTACAAGAACATGAGGTGCTGAATCTTGTGAGCCTGGAAATAGCCAATGAAACAATTAACAGCCATACAAATGATCATCAATTGAAATAATAGAGGCACTAACTGCAGTGTTTATCTTCTTTTAACCGGCACCTTATTCTGTAATGATCTTAATTATAAGGCAACTGCTCATAATAAATATAATGTGTTATCGCTAAAAGCCAGCAAATTTATTTTTACAGTATGTCTGATGGTCTGCTTAACTCTTAATGAGATGTTTCCTGCACATCAAGAGATGGTCTCCCAAAGTAATCTTTTAGTTGTGTGATTGATTGATCGACATGATATAAAGCTGGAAATATAGTAGCAGCAAGGTCATTTACCACACTGGATAATGCAGCTAATGTGCAGCTCAGTGCTTATTCTCCAAGAGGAGAGGAGAAGGAGAACAGGAAATATATCTCCGTGGAGCAATGAGTGAGAGTGAGATGGGCAGAGAGAGAGGCATTAAGTTCAGAGTCATTAGGCACAACACACTGCTGTCATTATATCATACTGCATTACATTCCTCAGCTTCTCCATTAATGAAGCTGTGGGAGAAAATCCAATGGCTCAGTCTGTCTGCGGCTGTGGAAAACAGAGCTTCTTTTGGGAAATTCAGCATGAGGCTTTTTCCTCTCAACACTGCCCTGCACTGATGTATTTAAAGCTACCTGTGTGACACTGAACCTGACTAAATCTGTCTGAGGAAAAGCTGAAGTATTCTTCTCTCTGCAGTGAGGGGGAGAGAGCACAGCCCTGACTAAGAGTATAGATGAGTGCAGATCCATGCTTAATACATTTTTCTCATATATTTTGCAGACTGAAAGTGTGCATATTAATGCCAAGCATCAAGGACGGTGTTAAACAGGTTAACATGGAAGAAAATGGACCCTTCAGATCTCACCACTGCCTCAGAGAAGACCGCTATCATACTAGAACCCGGGTGAAAAAAGGGTTTTGAAACTATTTTAGAACAACTTTATTTGCTGAACATGCACAATGTTTTTTTAAATACGTACAGTAAAACATATTTTGTATAGTGTAGCACTTGGGAAATAAAAATATGTTACTGGTTAAGAATGTCCTGTTATTGTGTAACAATTCCTACGTATTTTCTAATGGGCAATTCAGGGTGTCACAGTGGTTGTGAAAGATACCCATGCATGCGTCTTCAATTAAATCACTAGGGTATTGTTGTCCTGGTGAAAATAACTAGTCAGTTATTATCTCCAATACGCTTATTAAATAAAAACGGCCGACAACAGTCACTTAGTGTGAGTAAAAGATAAAATAGAAAATGAATAGTTAAAAACTAAGTATTTATAGTACACTAAAGTGAGTTCAAATCAAATTTGTTGGGGTATTCGAGATATGGAATTTCAAGATGAAACTCATCCTCATCATCACTAAATTCTCACTTTTTCCTAAATGAGAATATATCCTAACAAATGTCCTAAATCCTGAACTACCGCGCTCTCTGATTGGAAGACCACAAATTACATGACCTGATTTCCATAACACAGAATCTTATCAACACTGGCCTCAGAGGGAACACAAACTAATTGGCGCGACTTTTACTTCGCATTTTCTAATGATGGTCGCTTGATTAATCCTTGAAATGCCGGCTTGTGCGTGTTTGAGCTACAAAGGGAGATGGCTGACAGGATCAAAGTCATTCCAGTCTACTGAGGAGGGATTAGGAAAATGTGGTGGGGGCATGGAGACAATCGAGCATCCAAGCCTCCAGTGAGGACAATCCTTCCAGGCAGAAACCGAAATCTCAACTGGAGAAATCAGCCTGACTTGCCACTGTGCTAGCTGACTGACACAGACACGTGTGAGGGCGGTTATGTGATATCATGGTAATCCCATTGCAGATCCATAACCCATTCCATCAGCCTCATGACCCATGCGAGGAGATACAGGAAAGTGGGGGCAATAGGTTTTAAGATAAAAAAAGTCAACCTTTCTGATTAACATTCAACCTTTGATACTTATCAACAGCAAAATGTGATTTATTGTGATCTATTGAGAGTATTTTTTGCATTGTCTGAGATTCATGTCAGTATTGTTTATACATGTAACCCTCCCTAAAGCTGTCATTTATGATTTCATGGTCAGACATAATATTCCCCAAAAACAAAACAAAACGAGTGGAGGCTTTAGTTGTATTTGACAGTATTTAACACAAAGCAGGTGGTCCTACTGAACTGGAAGGAACATTCTGTCCACCAAACAAGAAAGGTGTTCCCAAAGTGGGTTACATCATTTTGTTAATCCTGATATATATATATTAAATATAAGTTATTGTTTTGTTAGTTGCATTAGTTCTGTACTGAAAACCTATTTGTATTCACAATGTTATCTGTGAACTATTAGCACTTATTCATGGCATGATTACATATGTAATAAGGGAGCAGCAGGTAGCTGTAAAAGTGTTAGCTGTAAGAGTGTTTGAAGCGTATGCATTACACTATTCACTTGTGTTTGATTGTTAGACTCTGCAGTCAAAGTGCATTAGTCTTTTTTTAATAAGCCACTATAACAGAGGTTGTTGCCACTGTTGTTCTTTAACACAGTACAAATGCCTTTATTTGTCATGGGGAATTAATTCCCTCTCTTGTGGACATAATACTCCTTAGTGCTTAGTGGGCTCAAGCACAGTCTCTGTAGGTTTGAATATAATTTAACATTTCTCATAATGTTCACAAACCTTTGATTTCAAATCAGGAGCATTAGCATGATTAAAAATGTAGACAAGATGACCAAAATGACAAGCCATCCGATGCCAGATTCAAGAACCATTCTTAACTCTTACATGAGCAGATGTTTGCTTTTTGTCTCTACTTGTTTAGACTAGTCAGCCTCTTTTCATCAAATACTGCTTCAATTTAATGAGGTAACTAATCATCACATTTCTGACCCTCTATATAACCCATTCAAGAACCAGAAGTGGCACTGCTGGGTGCATCGGGCTGCTCCAGTCAGCAGCTCAGGTTACCTCTACCAAGCGTGGAAAGCAGCGCTCATCGGCTGACAGCCCACTGCTACACTGCATCACTCTGCAGCAGTATACTCGCTGGGCGCACAGAGGAGACTCTGCACCCTGGCTGGGCAGTGAGGCTCTCTAGCCAGGCTAATGTTGTGCTCCGTTCCAAAAATAACATTGTTTACAATTCTTGCAACCAGACAGTTAGGCTATGATCTGGCCTTTAGATCCGCTATCAGTGTCAAGTAAACAGAAAGCTATATATTTTAAGCTTTTGTTTTAAATGTAATACGACTTCCTAAAAATAACATAAGCTAATTTAGGGAGAGCACAACCAAACATATAATGGTACCACATTTTGGGAATATTCTTATAATAATGGTAGCTTGTATGGCTGAACCCTCATTAAAATGTCAAAATACACCTGCCCCATCCAATAGCATGGCAACTGACACTGAGGCAATAACGTGGAAATAGACATTGGTGGTCTAGTCAGGCTACTATAAATCCCTGGATGACATCATTAAGTTAATAAACCTTTGGTTACCTGGCAGATTATACATAACTGATCAGAAATCCAATAAATAAAAAACAACTAGCTGCAAATAATAGCCTAAGTAGCCTACATATACTGTGGGTAAATAACTTAAGCACAAGGCTTGACATGACAGGAGGTAACCTAGAATAAGGTCAAAACAGACAGGATGTGCGAGCATGTAGCCATTTTCCTCAGGAGAAGATAACATATCAATGGCTTATTTGAAAAGTCTCTCCTAAAACAAGTTAAAGACAGTATGTATAGGCCTGCAGTAAAATAAAGTAGGCTAGTCATTTTGGGACGCCCTCGCCGAGACAAAAGAACGGTGCCTCGAGGTGTTGGTGCGGTGCTCGTCTCGTTTCCAAATATCACGTCCACCTGTCGTTCCTTTATGCGCTTCTAAAACCGCATCATTCAAAGCAACACGCACACCGGACTCACCCAGCACTCCGGAGGAGCTTTGTGACGGGGCAGCGCCCGGGTCCGGCCTCTCCGCTTCTCCCTGCTGCGCTCGGTGTCGGTGCCGGGAGCTCTCGGTGCCTTCGCCCGCGGCGGCTGCACCACTGGCGGCCGCCGCGGCTGCAGCGCCTGACGCCGCCGTCCCCGCGTCGGGCATGCTCTCTATCAGCGAGGAGCGACGGAAGAGGAAGATATTCTCCGGGAAATTGTACAATGGTATCGCATCTCAGGAGGAAGGCAAAGCATGGGTGTAGCGCGGCGGCCGGTTGGTGTCCGAATGAAGGGTTAAAGGAGTGTGAAAGTGAAGTGAAGGTTGTCGGTGCAGCAGCCGGTCATCCCGGTGGTACTCTGGAGCAGGATGCGCGGCTAGATGGAGAGCGCTCCTCCGACGACTAGAGGAGGGACAAAGAGAGGGGGGCGGGGGGAGGGGGCTGGGTGACACACACCTTGAAACAATTTGGTAGTCTCATGATTTCATGTATATTGTCCCAGATTGCGTGAGCGAGATTTACATTTGCTTTTAATATAAATGTTTCTTTCTATCATATCTCATTGTATCTTTTAAAATGTTTTACTCATGTGTAATGCTTGACAACACTGCTGCTGTGACCAAATACTTTTCCAATTTGGGATGAATATCTATCCATCCAGATTTTAAGATTTTACAGAAATAATTTGGGAGCATGATAGTTTTTTTTTTCTGTAGCCTATAATGTTCATGTATTCTTACCGTCTCCAAGAGACATTTATATTTATCGCCTATAGCAGGGGTGGGGAATCTCCGGCCTCCGGGCCGTATACAGAGACCATTTGATACGGCCCTCGAGGTAATTTATAAATACACGCAAAAAAGAAAGAAATTAAAGAAATATAGACCGCAAAATAATTAAACAAGCGAGTGCCTGTTTTTCCTTGCTAAAATCAGGATCATTGAACACAACACGAGCCTAACGTGTCATCACGTGGGCTGCTCCGGCACTTCAGATAAGGAGCCGTACACATGCCGCAGTTTTTGCGTGGCTGTGTCTTTAGTTGAAAGCCCAGTGGCGATCTGTTTCTCTGTCATACAGTCAATAACTTTGTTGTTATTAGCATCTGGTTAGCTAGCTATGCTAACGAATATGAGAAGCTTTTTCTCCAACCAGTGAGGTAAAGGCACATCTTTATATGATCATTATAGTTATCAAAAAATAAGAGAATAAAGTAAACGGGTATAAAATACTATATGACAGTAAAAAAAAAAGTTGTTATCAATAAACAAGAATACAATTTGAAAGGGGAGTGATTTGTAAAATATCCATAAAGAAAAAGAAAATATGCTTCCAGTTCTGTTTCATATGGGTGTTGAGAGATGTATCCATAGATCTCTTCATGTTGCTCTCAAAGTGCACCAGATTGATGCTTTTAACTTCAACATTTAAAAAAAAAATCTTCCTGGGGGAGCATGCCCACGGACCCCGCTAGAGGAGGTTAGGTCCCCCCCCACCCCTTAAATCATGTTCACATGGTTAGGACACTAAATACATTACATTACATGTCATTTGTCAGACGCTTTTATCCAAAGCGACTTACATGCAGTACTGTGGACCATCCCCAAAGGAGCAATTTGGGGTGAAGTGTCTTGCCCAGGGACACAACGAGATGCTGACTGCAGTGGGACTCAAACTTACCCTGATTCGAAGTCCTTTGCATTGAATTTGCACACATATTGTGTCCATATCTTTCTGTTTTGGTGGTCATGCCACAACCGTGCACGTGCATGCATGCGTGAGTCATGGTGAGATATCTGGATTAAAAGGTTGCTTTTTCTTTGCACAGCATGAAAGAAAGGCCAAATGAATGGGCCGTGATTTTAGTTTTTTTTAAGCAGAGGTCAATAATTTGTACGGCCCTCGGAGGATGTTGAAAAAATTGAAATGGCCCTTGAGAGGAAAAAGGTTCCCCACCCCTGGCCTATAGTGACCCCTGCCAGCAGCCAGACTTTCATTTGGTGCCAGAAATAGAATATGCTTGGCTTCATCAAGGCACAACTCAGACAAACAAAATACATGCTGATGCGGATAACATTTCTTATTTGATCACGACATTTCTGTTATTTTTGGAGATGTATCACCTTTAAAGTTAAACATAATAATTCTTTCAGCAGCAGACTGTCCCTCAGCAGGTACACTGAACACAAATATAAATGCAACACTTTTGTTTTTGCTCCCATTTTTCATGAGATGAACTCAAAGATCTAAAACATTTTCTATATACACAAAATAACCATTTCTCTCAAATATTGTTCACAAATCTGAAAAAATCTGTGATAGTGAGCACTTCTCCTTTGCCGAGATAATCCATCCCACCTCACAGGTGTGGCATATCAAGATGCTGATTAGACAGCATGATTATTGCACAGGTGTGCCTTAGGCTGGCCACAATAAAAGGCCACTCTGAAACGTGCAGTTTTGCTTTATTGGGGGGTCTGGGGGGGTCCGAAAACCAGTCAGTATCTGGTGTGACCACCATTTGCCTCACGCAGTGTAACACATCTCCTTCGCATAGAGTTGATCAGGTTGTTGATTGTGGCCTGTGGAATGTTGGTCCACTCCTCTTCAATGGCTGTGCGAAGTTGCTGGATATTGGCAGGAACTGGAACACGCTGTCGTATACGCCAATCCAGAGCATCCCAAACATGCTCAATGGGTGACATGTCCGGTGAGTATGCTGGCCATGCAAGAACTGGGATGTTTTCAGCCTCCAGGAATTGTGTACAGATCCTTGCAACATGGGGCCGTGCATTATCCTGCTGCAACATGAGGTGATGGTCGTGGATGAATGGCACAACAATGGGCCTCAGGATCTCGTGACGGTATATCTGTGCATTCACAATGCCATCAATAAAATGCACCTGTGTTCGTCGTCCACAACATACGCCTGCCCATACCATAACCCCACCACCACCATGGGCCACTCGATTCACAACATTGACATCAGAAAACCGCTCACCCACACGACGCCACACACGCTGTCTGCCATCTGCCCTGAACAGTGAAAACCGGGATTCATCCGTGAAGAGAACACCTCTCCAACGTGCCAGACGCCATCGAATGTGAGCATTTTCCCACTTAAGTCGGTTACGACGACGAACCGGAGTCAGGTCGAGACCCCGATGAGGACGACGAGCATGCAGATGAGCTTCCCTGAGACGGTTTCTGACAGTTTGTGCAGAGATTCTTTGGTTATGCAAACCGATTGTTGCAGCAGCTGTCCGAGTGGCTGGTCTCAGACGATCTTGGAGGTGAACATGCTGGATGTGGAGGTCCTGGGCTGGTGTGGTTACACGTGGTCTGCGGTTGTGAGGCCGGTTGGATGTACTGCCAAATTCTCTGAAACGCCTTTGGAGACGGCTTATGGTAGAGAAATGAACATTCAATTCACGGGCAACAGCTCTGGTGGACATTCCTGCTGTCAGCATGCCAATTGCACGCTCCCTCAAAACTTGCGACATCTGTGGCATTGTGCTGTGTGATAAAACTGAACATTTTTAGAGTGGCCTTTTATTGTGGCCAGCCTAAGGCACACCTGTGCAATAATCATGCTGTCTAATCAGCATCTTGATATGCCACACCTGTGAGGTGGGATGGATTATCTCGGGAAAGGAGAAGTGCTCACTATCACAGATTTTTTCAGATTTGAGAACAATATTTGAGAGAAATGGTTATTTTGTGTATATAAAAAATGTTTTAGATCTTGAAAAATGGGAGCAAAAACAAAAGTGTTGCATTTATATTTGTGTTCAGTGTAGTTTCTGCAGTCCAGCACTATTGCTCCTTTGTTACCGTGAATGCACTTCCCTGTCCTGTAAGTTTATTCAATTACTTATTTATGCAAAACACATCTTTATAGAATAAACTAACACTCAGGTGTAGGGACAAGTAACATCTCTTCACTTCAGTACTTTAGTGTCAGCTGTATGTCATGTTTATGACCTCAAGCTAATTGAAAAGCATCACATCCTATTTTACAAAGCATGTTGTGTTGTCAGGTCTGCTTGCAGATGTCTTATAAAATTGATAATCAATAGTCAGCCTATGCCAAAGCAAGCACACCCAAACACTGAGGGAGTCAATCAGTTGGTACTGGCACTATATTTCTTTCCTTAAAGGCATCAGTGTGCACAGTTTTATAACCAGTAAAGGAGTTGTTAGACTGCATGTTTGTGTGTATGTTTAATGAAGGTGGAAGTCAATTGTGTCTTTATAAGATCCAAGGTCTATTTACATTATTTTCTTGGTCAGAGATGTTTGTACTGTATTGATCCTGCAAAACAGATGGGGTGGCTAGCTGTCATGCTTTGTGCACTATAGAGCAGCCTATAAATGATTGAGACCTCACTTTAAAGATGCTCCCCGTGCCTCAGATCAAGACTTTTCGGTGTGTACACATATATCTCCTTGGCCAGCCCTCCTGGATGCTCTGTTTTGAGCATGCAGGCCGATAGGCAGCCCTCCCCCTCATACAGTATGGCTCAGAGCTCAGAAGTACCTCCTCTTCGAGCAGAAATTCTGCTTACTCACCACCCTCTGGAGCTGACAGCTGCAAGGAGCTGCAGTGACACACACACACACACACACACACACACACACACACACACACACACACACACACACACACACACACACACACACACACACACACACACACACACACACACACCACCACACACACAAGCACAGCGCACTGACATAACGCTTTTATTCTGTGTTTATATTCTGTGATATACACAATGTACACCAACGATTTTAGTACATAACACAACAACGGATTATATCCAAAACACAGCAACACTGTTTGATAATGGACTCTGAAAATGGCATACGATGACAGAGAATATGAGTTAAATTGTTAGAAAACGAATGCAACCTATTACAACAGCCCTGCAATTAATTGTACCTTCAAAAACATAAAGGTGACAATGTTGAGTTTCTGTTGAAACAGTTTTAAAAAGGCTTTGGGTCTCTTATGGCCATTTCTGAATTTTCAGTAAACTGTGAAGTGTTTTCGTAATAATAAATTCACCTTATCAATGTAATGTTATCAAACCATGTTGTGGAAAAAGTCAGAAACACCAAAGAGTCAGTGACAGTCGCAGTATATAAGCTTAAATAAAAAGAACAAATTAAACAAAAAAATGTGGATTTAAAGTCAATAAAAAAAAATAAAAAAAATAGGGGACTTACCAAACAACTCTTCATAATACGTTAGGATGTATGCACACATTTTTAGTTTATAGTCAAAATAAATGTATGTAAAGGTATATTAAATTATACCAAACAGCTACATACTTCAACTTTGCCAATTACTGTGAAAGTTTGAGATGAACAAATAACACCCTTTTCCACAAGCAGATACACAGCAGTAGGACTGTTAGCGATATCCATTGACGAGCACCTGCAGCTACACGGACCAAATTGAATGGCGCACAGTAGGCGGGGCTCTTTGATGATTGACAGGTGCTGAACGAATAGGACGTTAGAATCTGGTGATGTTATGGAAAACATCGACCAATCACAATCAACAGAGGGCGCAAGACTCATCGTGGTAAATGTAAACGGTTGAGTTTGTAGGTTAGAGTTTGTAAGTGAGCCTTTCACAGCAAATGTATTGCATTGTTTTCATTTACTAGCTAACGTTAAATGTACAGGATACACCGACATTTTATGTGAATAGCATAAAGGTAAACACAATGATTTTGTCAAGGGCAGAGCATGTTATGCTGTCAGATTCTTAAACCAGCCTCATGAAACAGCACATGAAACGTTTATTATCAGCATCTTAAAGTTATGCTTCCATCCATTTATCGTGGGATATGGGGAGCTGCTGTCCACACACTAAGGACAAGGTTTGTTACCAAAATGCACCTTCCATTTTTGTATTCTTGCCACTTTTACAGAAGTTGACATACTGCATGTTTTTTCCTTAAATATTGATATATTATTTGCTTTAAATATAATTCATTCCGTACCCACTAGAGCCCACTCAGCCCAGTGATTATACAACCTAAGTAAAACAATAGATTTTCAGATCAGATCTATACTCAAAGCACATATTAAACTTTTTCCACATCTTTAAATCAGTTGGTAAATAAGATAGTATGCTTTTTATTATTCCCTTTACCTCTTGATTAAATGCATCCAGATATAATAAATGTTGTTCTTCTATATTTATATTTTATTAACTCATATTATTCTTCAACTCCTTACATTTTTCAAATGAATATTTTTGTCTCTTAATTCAGTTTTTTGCTGTCAAGTTTAAAGTTGTTTATTTATTTTACTGTATGTCAGTTATTGGGCTTCAGAATATACACGTTTTTTTCTCTACATAATGCAAACTAAACCTTTCTGTTCCGTCTAGACATAAAAAGCAGATTAGACCACACTCTTTAATCTAAATGTACAGTGTGTACCATCTACTTATCTACAGCAGAGGAACTCCACCTTGCAGATTCTTATCCACCTGCGAGGGAGTCCCGTTTGGACTGGCAGATGCTGAGAGCATCTTTGCCTTATCATCGGGCCATGGCAGGTGTGGGGTGGCTGTGGTTCGAGCCAGTGGTCCCGCCTCAGCCACAGCTCTGAGATGTATGGCGGGGGTCTCACGCAGCCCTCCTCCTCCACGCACCGCTCTGTTACGCAGCATCAGAGACCCCATATCAAAAGAAGTTCTGGACCGTGGACTTGTCTTCTGGTTCCCAGGTATGATAAAACACACATTTAATTACTTTTAACTACATTTCTGCTATTTGTATTTTGGATATAGTCTACTTTACACACCATGGATTGCTTTCCCATCAAATACATATAATACAGTACAATGTATGGTAATGCTAATGCAGAGTGGTCTTTAAATGTAACAGTAATGGAAAAATAATGACTTAAAAATGGGCTAAAAAATAGAAAAACAAATTCGGCAAAATATTATTTTAATTATGTTCAACAGCACTGTGTGACTGACTGGTCAATTAAAAATATTGGTGAGATATTTTGTCTGTCTTTTATTGAATGAAGTATCTTTTGGTGCAAAGTGATGACAGACCAGCTTGATTGCTAAGTATTGATGTCAAGTCTGATCCCTTGTTATAACCTCAGAGCAGTATTGAGTCAGAATATCAGTCATATCACCCACTTGTAGCAGCCTGAGTTTAAAGAAAGTGTTCATAACATTTGCTCATCTTGTTTTTTTAAATGACCAAAGACTGTTGTTTTCTCCCTCTTTTTATGTCATCAGGTCCTCATAGTTTTACAGGAGAGGACAGTGTGGAGTTCCACATCCATGGCGGCCCTGCTGTGATTACTGCTGTCCTACAGGCTCTAGGTAACCCTTATGAGTATAACATAATATTATTCAACTTCATATAATGCTTTATAACACGTACAGCGCCATATGATGCACTGTTTCTTAGCAATGTGTAAAAGGTATGGTTGTCCTCACAGTCCTGACTTTCCAAGCTGTGAGTTTTACAAGAAGTATTAACCCAATAACTGGTTGACTCATGTGACTGTCCATCACTTTGACTTAAAAGGGAAAACTGAAACATGATTTCCTATTTCTAAGATACTTATAATATGTGACTTGACAAGCGTGACAATCCCTCTATGACTGAAAAGTAATATTTTACTGCAGTTCTCCAAATGGCCTTAAAGGTGGCAGTATTGTATAAATTAGACATTTAAATGAAATATTCTTACCTTGCAAGATTTTCAATTATCAGGAATACATTAGTGTTTACTTGAAGTTGATATCATAACCATTAAAAAAAAAGGTAGTGACAATGTTGGCCATGATGACCTTGACTTTGCCAAAGGATTTGGGTTCTACGCAGTCTCCTCCTGATGAGGTTTGAACAATGGTTGTGAAAACAATGAAAACGTAACCTTTTTAACCTGCACAGTTGTGCCTGTTTTCATTCCAAGTGAACCCTGAGTGACACATAGACCCTGCAGTTAATCCCCCCCTGTTTGGGCATGTGTGTGTGTTGTGTGCATCATTCATGCCCGACCCGTGCCTCATGCATTTCTCCATTTCTGTTTGCTGTGTTTGTGTGTTTGTTTGTGTGCGTGTGTGTGTGTGTTTCTCAGGAAGCGTGCCTGGCATGAGGCCTGCTGAAGCTGGTGAGTTCACACGGAGGGCCTTTCAAGCAGGGAAACTGGATTTAACAGAGGTAGGTCAAGAAGAGAATGTAAAAACAAAGAGACAGGTCTCTGCAGATGGCATACCAAGAGCCTTTCAGAGTATTTTAAAAGGTAAATGAATGTGGAAGAAAGAGGGTAAACAATGAACAGGGATTTCAAGTGTAAGCATATCAACAATGAAAATATTCAGTTTTTCAATTGGCTATCTAATAATGGATTCTGTAGATGGTGATGTTCTATTCTCTAAGTATACAGCTATACTGTGAGCTCTGGACAATATGTTTACAGTTTTTAACTTTTTAATACAGTTTATTATTTATTCAATCTATATTTATTTATTGACACAGGCCTTTCAACAACTGTACTGTAGTAAAAAAATGATGTGCTTGCCGCACAGAAAGTTAAGAATTACAAGTTCTAGCCAAGACTGTAAAGTTGATTTAATAAAAAGACTGACTTATATAATCAAATGAATCTCTTCCTTCAAAATAAGTCATGGAAACATTAAACAGTTAAAACAGTCGTGCTATAGATAAATGAAAAATGTATAGCAGTTATAACTATTATAATGCTATGTGCAGGTGGAGGGGCTCGGCGATCTGATCCATGCTGAGACGGAGGCTCAGAGACGACAGGCTCTGAGGCAGATGTCAGGAGAGCTGGGACACCTCTATCAGGACTGGACCCACAGACTGAAACGGGTAGGTGGTCCGATGAACAACGGTGGTGGGTTAGACAGTGGTTTCCAACATCCCACTGAGGCAGGGTGGTGTGCAAAATGTCTGGATCTCTGGGCTTGAGGGTGTAGGTGTAGCATTTGTGGCAGTAACTGCAGTTGCAGTTTGCTTTTAATCCGACTTGAACAATATTGTAACATTTTGGATTAATCTTAGTCTCCAATGCTACAAGGCCTGAAGTTGAGGTTTTCTTCCTATTACGTACATACTGTTTAAAACAAAAATATAGATTTCTAGATGTTTGGAGTGTTATATGAACTGAATTCATCTTTACTACAGAAACTATACACTCCATTTTCGAAAGAAAGATCAGTTTGGATGTTGGAAAAGTCTTAAAATCTCTGTTTCTCACACCAAGTGCTTTCTTTTTGTCTCTTGGCCTGAATGTTGACTTGATGTGCTGTGCTTATGTGCTGTGCTTCATGTTGACTCAAACCCAACAGTACCTTGTTTTTAAATGACAAATGAACATAGCCTCTTTGGACATGCTGTTGTTGTATCCAATGCTGAGACGTTTTGGTAGCAGGGACAAGCCGTCCTGCTGGAGTTCTCCCTGGAGAGATTGTGTCCATGTTCATGTCTTACATTTCTTTCAAAACAGTTTTGAGGAAAGAACCTGTGTACCGTGCTGCAGGTCAGGCCTCAGTAGTTACACACCCAAACAGCTGCTTTTCCAACACAGTGTTGATGGATTCATTCATTGGCTCTCACTCTTCCTGTTTCCATGTTGCTGCAGGACATTATTGAAAACCAAAAGCACTATTTGTACTAGTACATGTATAAATGTATTTTTCATTTAAAACAGGATTGCGAATAAACAGGAAAAATATGTGAATTAATTAAATAGGATGGATTGGGTTAAGTGTAACTTCAGGGAGGGGGGAGCAATCCGTGGAGTTAAGACAACACATTGCTTAATAATTTACACTTTTTTTATGCAAGAAAAGCAATACATTTTTAAGCAGGTATAGCAATTAATGATAGTTATTATTAAAATATTTGAGAAATAGAAAAGATAATAATATTAAAGTATAATGTGTAAAGAACATTACCCTATGTAATAAGGAAATCAGTTGAAATTGTAATATAATTAATAATAATACTATAATATCCATCACCCTTCTTAGCAAACCTAAGAAAAGTATATTTCGTTTTTCTAAGACCATAATATCTGATTAACAGAAAAGTAGGAATAGTTTACTGAAGGATCCATTCCCCATTGTATAAACACAACTCATATTCCGTTGTTATTGTTATTCTTACTTTATGGTGGCCAAAGGGCCTGAAGGGAGCAGGTCCTCCGCTCTGTTTTGGCACCAGAACTGACTCAGATCTCATTACGTTGTTTCCCGTCGACAGCCACTAATAAGAGTTCAAGTCCAGATACCTACTTTTCAATGTTGACTTTCTAAGAACGGAACTTTTCAAAGAACCTTATTTATTGTGATATGGTGCAGATCCATCTTCCCTTAAGTGCTACCCATTTCCCATAGTTTCCATTGCAGGATAACTGGTTTTGTTTTGGATGGATTAAAGATGAATTATTCCAGACAACGCAGCTGTGTGTTTTAGGACAGGCACACAATCCAAACATTTATATATTCTGAGCAGCAGTATGTGTTTCTTATCAATGCAGTATCCTGAAGTGTATACTGTTAGTATAGATAAGGGTCAGAAGGCTGAGTCAGTCTGGAAGTTAAGATAAATTACAGTATGATTAGAGTGGAGAAATTAAGGTGGATGTACAATTCACATTAGGGGTTAGTGACCTAGCGGATGGAGAATAATCTATACAGCTTTTGTCTAATTATTTTTAATCAGATATGAAGACATGGTTAGAGGTGTTCAGTACACATTTAAATGAATCCTATTCATAAATCTTTAAATGTACCTAACAATATTCAGTTGTTTTTTTTGTGCCTAGGTTTATGTTTTGGGGATTTTTAGTACAATGTTAGTGAGTAGGTAAGTGATGTGTCAGTAAAGTGTTTTGTGAGTCCCACTATTACACATGGTTGCCCTACACCAATTTATATTCAAGCCAACTTTCCAAAAAGTTAAGAAACTTTGTGCAGTTGAAACTTCACTTTTCTGTGGGAGAATATAGCAACATTTTTGCTTTGCAGTTGTCTAAAACCTTAGACCTCTTTACTTGTTTGTAACAACACTTGTATTGTTGTTTTTTTCCAAAAAGCCTGTTCCCCTGATAATGTGGCATATATTCTTATGTCTGTCTTGTTTACTTCTAATCAGAGTATCAGTTTTCCTCATACGTCCTTTGAGGCGGTTCAGAGCAGCAGGTCACTGACTGCTGATGAACATTTCAACACAGTGGATGCAGGCCAAACCCTCTTTCTTGTGTGAACTGTTTGGAAGAATCAGACCAGGGATCTTTCAACGATTTGGCACCAGATCTGAATAACCGGTCCAGGTGGTCTCCCTTGAGAAACTCTGTAAAGTTCCTTATCTCAGGATGTTCCCTAAAAGCTATTTGAACGTCCCTGTATTTTGGGCTCACATTTCTGGGAATCTTGGTAATGAGACTTATACCATCTGTAGGGTGCGGGTTCAAACCCCCCAAACAATGTAGTTTTTTTTCAAACCGTTGGCTTCCCACTTTTTAAATGTATTAAAGTATGGGAATATGATGCTTCCTGTTTTGTGCAGCTATACTGCTATTGTCTTTAGGTTCCGCATGTCAATCAAGATAGTGATCTGTGCTGTGGAGGAAAAACTGGAACTTTCCCTTGTTTGTATTCTTAGTATTTTAAAGGAATTTCAAATGTTTGTTTACATGCAAAGTATGAATGTATGGGAGCACTTTGCATTTAGGTATATTGTCACCTAAGATTCTGGGATATAAATGGTTGCCATTTTTTACAAATGTTAATGAATGAATAATTAAACAATAATCAAAAAAATGGACAAAAGGTCAACCATTATTGAACTTAATTGTTAGATGTAACGATACCCTAATCAAAGTAGCTTTTCTTCATCACTGTCCTTGTATCACAGGTGCCCCAGGAGTAGATGTGAGCTGTGGCACCAGCAGGATTAATCGAATCAACTTTTCATTGTCATGAATGTACACAGAACACACAGTGAAATTCAGACTTTGCATTTAACCAACCTTGATAGCAGTGAACAGCTCTGCATTAAGAGCCTGGGTGGGAGCTGCTGCCTACTGCTGATAAACTGTACTGCTCGTTACCTGTCACTCACATTTTCTCTGCTTCAACATTTCAACATGCAGTTAAAGTATGAAAATAATGATATAACTGTTTTAGAGTTGAATGTGTTAATTCTATAATCTGATTCAATCCTCTTCCTCTCTCTCTTGTCTGCTTTGTGTGTCACCCAGTGTCTGGCTCACGTTGAGGCCTTCATAGACTTCAGTGAAGACGAGCTAATTGAGGACGGGGTCTTAAACCAAGGTATGTGTACACTTTGTGCTCTTTACTGGAAAAACATGACAGAACAATCATTTCCTTAGGCTTTTAGAGGGCTCTGTTTCTCTCTAAGGAGATTGGAGTTTGACTGGCTTTCCTGTTTGGATCTTCAGCTGGCCATCGTGGGTGTTTGCTGCACTGTGGGGAGAAGCCATAGACATCAAACTGTTTAGAAGACGATTTCCTTTGAGGAAGTGTGGAGAGAAGGCCAGGGGGGACAGTAGAGGCATTAGTCTTGCCTTCAAAGCTAACCTGACATGTTGCTCACAGGAATAATGCAGACAGCAAAGTACTGTTCTCTCTGTGCCCAGGTTTCCCATGCTTATTGTGTGTGTGTGTGTGTGTGTGTGTGTGTGTGTGTGTGTGTGTGTGTGTGTGTGTGTGTGTGTGTGTGTGTGTGTGTGTGTGTGTGTGTGTGTATGTGTGTGTGTGTGTGTGTGTGTGTGTGTGTGTGTGTGTGTGTGTGTGTGTGTGTGTGTGTGTGTGTGTGTGTGTGTGTGTGTGTGTGTGTGTGTGTGTGTGTGTGTTGTGTGTGTGTGTGGAAGGGATGTTCCCCCTGAGTCTGTCGCCTGCCGTCTAGCACTGACAGGGCTCTTCAGAAGCCTCAGATGTTGTGAAGTTACAAAGCCTGGGAATGATTGTTTATTCTGGAGGAAAGGAATGTGGGTTCACTTCACGCCTAAAACTAATAGACTCTTTCCCCAAAAATAGAAAACATAGAAAACACTCTCATTCACATCCCATTTAATGTTATATCTGATGTTTTTTTACATTTTATTGAAATGCCAAGTTGGATGAATTAATGTGTGGTCAGTCTAGATTTTCCTGTTTAGGAGCAGCTGTTGTTGATAGATTGGTTTGTCAAAAGCATTTTTCCGCCTTAGTCACAGGCGGAAAGGGATCGGTCCATGACCCATTTTTATCGTCCAGACAAACGGTGTCAGACACCGGACAGCCTTTTTTCCTTCAAAGGACAGAAGTTCTCACCACAAGGCCATGAAAGTGAAATTGTAGAGAAGCCTTCGTCACTGGCCGTTCCCTCATTTGTTTTTATCTCACTGTCAACCCCACAGTGGACCGATGGGTGTGTGATCTGCAGGCAGAGATGGAGCGCCACTTAAAGGACGAGAGGAGGGGCGAGCGGTTACGCAGCGGAGTCCAGGTGGTCATCGCAGGAGCCACCAATGCAGGGAAAAGTAGCCTTCTGAACACACTCTGTAAGAAAATCAGTGCACACACACAAACAAACACAACTTGTGGTTGGATTACCATTAAATATGTCTCACTATCTTAGAAATACTAACCTAACTTATTAATCACACTGCGGTCAGCCATGATTTGAGAGGGAAAGAAGGCAACATCTGTCATACCATAAGCAGCGTGGACTTACTTTTAAAGACCACACCATCTGTGAACAGTAGACCTTGCTCTTTGCAAAATTAATTACAGTATGACTTTTCGGAAAACATTAGATTCTGGCCGTGCGTCATGTGTTATCAGTCAAAGTCTGCTTTCAATTGCAACAGATTGTGTTGCAATGCTCATAAAGGAATATGGAAAATAATATAAAAGCAAACGTAATTAGTAGTATGTCAGTTTTCTCATTCTAGATCAGGTCTTTGGTTGTTTATCCTCATTTGTTTTCAACCTAATGAGCCCCTTGTATATAGTCTAAGGTTATGTTTGTTTATGATATTGTATCCTTAAATCATTTTAAATCACAATCATACACTATCCAGAGAGGAGGCTTGGCAGGGTCTCCTCACAGCTTCCTACCAGAATAATAGACGTATTTATCAAACTTCAGATACATTCCTGTTATCATTTCCTCTTCTAATTAGTCTTCCTGTGACCTAGACTTACACCCAGTCAGCACAGACAAATATTGATGAGCTGGCAGCGTAATTTGACGTGGCTGATGCTAGCCAAGTTCTTGAATGACGAATAAAGAAAGGATGACAACATATATTCTTGTTTGCACAGAACTTGTGAATAGACTATATAGAGATTTGTCAAAAAGCCTCACAAAATGAACAATACATGGGCAAAAGGCCAACCATTATATACTCCAGATTACATATTGATTATAAGAGGTGACAGTGGCCAGCTGTTTAAGGGAATTATTTATAATTTTTTAGCATCACAAAATTGACTTGGGGTTGTTAGGAAATCAGACAGTTTTGATAATCACATTGTTATTTTTGGTGTTTTTTCATGGGATTTGTTGACAATATGATACATATATAACATTGCCAACCTTATCCTTTAATCTTCTTTTATCCAGGCCAGAGACCTGCAGCAATTGTATCTCCCATCGCTGGCACCACCAGGGACATAGTGGAGACGGCCCTGGACATCGGGGGATTCCCGGTCCTCTTGAGTGACACCGCCGGCCTCAGGGAGAGTCCCGACCTGGTGGAGAGGGAGGGGGTCCGCCGAGCTCGAGAGAGGTATATAGAATATAATTGGAGGGATAAAACCCTCTTTAATGGTCACACATGCAGAGCACACAGTACACACAGTGAAATGTGTTCTCTGCTTTTAACCCATCCTAGTACCAGGAGCAGTTAGAGGACAAAGCCCTTTTATTTTAAATATCCCAAAAAGTGATTTAACTCAGAGTATGTCGGGTGTAATCGTACAGTAGATTGCTGCTTCAGCAACTGCTCATGTTTGCATAATACTCAATCAAGATTGGCCTGAGGACCAATGGAATATGTCCTTGAAAACAAAGAGAGGAAGAAATAAGTCATTGCTTTTCCTCTGTACATCATGCTATATTTTCGTAATGTGTACCTTTTGTCTACATTTGTCACATCCATAGTTTATATTATTGCAGAGCCACAGATATAAATACATAGGAAAAACACTCTCAGGAGGTTGCGTAATGAAGAGGCTCCTTTCCTTTTCTAGGAGTATTCACCATCAACAGGTTCTTTATGCACGGTGTAGAGAATGAACATATATGGCATTTTGCTAACGGCCGCTTCCACTGTTTACACCAGCGAAGAATAGCAGTACTTACTGTATAACACTCGTCATCACTGCTTCATCAAATACAAACATGCAAACAGACACGCACACAAACGTGAACACTGGCACCAACAAATATTAATAATTCAGCTTTTATTCACAGACTTTATAGTATGATTTTGGTGTCAAAGAGCAAGAGGAAAAAGCGTGTTACAACACACTCCCACATTATTTATCAATTAATTAATATTTAAAAGTAAAGTTTAGAGATTCTGTATAACCTAAATTAGAAAAAGAATTGCTTTAAATACTTGTTTGTATTACAACAATACAGCGTGTTGCTGTCACTCCTGACAGTTGATTTAAATATAAAGAACTATAGAAAGCAAATATTCAGAATAAAATATGGCAATACCAAAAAAAAGACAAATGTGAAATAGTTTCTAATGTACTTGTGTTCTTGGCAGGGGATGAACAATATATCAATACGATGTCATATCACCTCATGTGACGAATATCAATTAAGTATGTTGCTAATTTTAATGGGATTTGCCACACCTTTTCAACATAAGAAAATACTCTTAAACATACATTCCATCAAATAATGTATTTTCCAAATCCAAAGATTGTTTGGGGACTCATATCCAAAGAAAATTCTGATGTGACTGCATAACAAAAAATATTCAGGTCAAATATTGCGTAATCACTTGACTGTTTGTCAAGTTATTTGGGCGAGCTGGTGGCTCGGTAGGAAGGGTGGGCAGTTTGTGTTCTACGGGGAACTTCTGGTGTAAGGAGCAGGTCAGAGGCTCGGGACCTGGGTCACTACAGGAAGGAAGGGGTAAGAACAGCATCCGCTGGTGCTGCTGACCTCACAGTGGGACCAAGTGCAGGAGGGTCAACCAAATACCATTACATAACTGTGGCTGTGAGGCAATGCAATCTTCTTCCAATCAGAGGGTTACGGGTTCGATCCCAGACCCTGCAGTCAACATGTTGATGTATCCTCGGGCAAGACACTTTTTACATTACATGACTTTTACCCAAAGTGACTTACTTACACTCAATACTATGGGCAATCCCCACAGGAGCGATTTGGGGTGAAGTGTCTTGCCCAGGGACACAACGGCATGCTGACTGCAGGGGGAATTGAACCTGTGCTCCGAAGATCAGCGCATGTAAACCACTGAGCCACATCCACCCTATCCCCAAGTTGCTCCTGATGGCATTGCCAACGCTGGTTAGCTTCCTTGAGCAGCTTGCACCTTACATGCTAGTCCCTGCCTCTGTATGAATGTGTGTAAATGGGTGAAGGCTGTTTATGTTAAAGGCAAGGCAAGGCAAGTTTATTTATATAGCACTTTTCAACACAAGGCAATTCAAAGTGCTTAAAGCGCTTTAAGGAGTCATAAAGACTGGATAAAGCACTATTTAAAATCCATTTCCAAGTCCATTTAGTCAATAAAAAAGTTAATTTACCATGTGGTCCACCCAGAAGAGTCAAACGAGTTTAGGAAACTGTTACTAATCATATATAAGAAAAGTTCATATACACAACAAGTGTGTCATCATATAGACAGTAATAAGTATTTAAGTTATTTGGTCTAATATCTTATCTTATCATTTCAGTCTCTGGAAAAGTGCAGTTACTAGTAATGTTTCAAGGTCAAATGTTGAGGTTGCTTTCTTTCCACCAGAGTGGAGCAGGCCGATCTGACGCTGGTGGTAGCGGACTGTGCTGATCTCCCCTCTGATGCCCAGCAGGCTGCAGCCTTCCTCCAGGAGCACCTCAGGAGTGTCCTGCCCCCCCAGGAGCAGCCTGAGACGGGTAAGATATCTGGAACACAAATGTTCCCCATCAAACATCATAGGGTGTTTGCTCTTCAAATCAGTATTGTACAGAATGTAATGTATTGTGACACAAGTTGCTCGCTAACAGGTCCATCTTGCATTATTAAATGATACTAGCGGTTGATTCATGGACGACTTACAGTATTCCAGGGAGTACTGGCAGGAAGGAGAGTTTTGTGTCATCAAGAGTGATCAAATATAAGTCTCTATGCCTTGAGTCAATGGTGATTGATCAACATTTTTTCTTCCTTCCTTTCTTGCCACAGTGTTTCCTGCAGACAGGTTGCTCCTGGTGCTGAACAAAATGGACCTGCTGCCTGAGGAGCAGAGGCTTGAGCTCGACGGGGAGCTGAGACGAGTCTCTGGATTCCCTCCTGTCTGTCTGATCTCCTGCCACACTAAGGAAGGAGTGCACGACTTCCTCACAGTGCTGCACAGCAGTGTTAAAACTCTGTGAGTAGCTTCAATTTATAATATGTTGGCAGAGCAAAGTCAGGATGTCTCGTTTTAATATTGTTTTATCTTATGCATATCAAAATGTACTGTATTGTACAGAACTTGTACATGTTATTGATTTTGACAAGCTTCCAAAACTATCTTTATTCAACCTCAAATTACTTTTGTCCAGTTGTGAAAAGGATTGCATCTAACTCACATGTGTTTTGCACAGTTTGTATCAATCAATCAATGTTTATTTATATAGCCCAATATCACAAATGTTACATTTGTCTCAGTGGACTTCACAGTTTGTACAGAATATCAGTATGACAATACGACACCCTCTGTCCTTAGACCCTCACATCGTACAAGGAAAAACTTCCGGAGAAAACCCACAGTTTAAAGGGAAAAATGGGAGAAACCTCAGGGAGAGCAACAGAGGAGGGATCCCTCTCCCAGGACGGACAGACGTGCAATAGATGCCGTGTGTAAATTGAAAAGATAATACATTTGCAACATAGGTAGTCCAAATATTTGGAAATGCATGTGTGTATAATAGGAAGATGAATCCACGAGGATATCCATCCAGGACTTATGATCCAGGACCACAGCCACGACTCAAGATCCAGGACAGAGGAGCGCAGGATCATCCATGACTCTGGATCCCGGTGTATATAGACACCAAAAAGAAAGACATTTGGGGAAGCTGGGTTAATCGGAACATGAGAGTACACAGGTATAGACAGAGAGAAGGAAGAAGTAAGATGTCCCCTGACAAACTAAGCCTATATCAGCAAAACTAGGGGCTGAATCTAATCAGCCCTAACTATAAGCTATATCAAAAAGGAAGGTCTTAAGCGCACTCTTATAAACGGATAGGGTGTCTGACGCCCGAACACAAACTGGAAGCTGATTCCACAAATGTGGAGCTTGATAAGAAAAGGCTCTGGCTCCCATTGTACTTTTAGAGACTCTAGGAACAACCAACAACCCTGCATTCTTGGAACGCAATGCCCTAGTAGGACGGTAGGGTATAATGAGTTATTTAAGGTAAGATGGCGCCTGCCCATTAAGGGCTTTGTAGGCGAGAAGAAGAATTTTCTATAGGGAGCCAGTGTAAGGCAGCCAGAACAGGAGTAATGTGGTCCCTTTTCCTAACTCTGGTTAGTACACGAGCTGCAGCATTTTGAATCAGCTGAAGCGACTTAACTGACTTCTTGGTACACCCTGATAATAAAGAGTTACAATAATCCAGCCTTGAAGTAACAAATGCATGGACTAGTTTCTCTGCATCGTTTTGAGGCAAGATATGCCTGATTTTTGCAATGTTACGTAGATGGAAGTAGGCGGTCCTTGAAATTGATTTTATGTGGGCGTTAAAGGATAAATCCTGATCAAATATAACACCAAGATTCCTTACAGTCTCACTGGAGGCCAAATTAATGCCATCCATAGTTAGTATATCTTTAGATAATTTGTTTCGTAGATTCTTCGGGCCAAGTACAATAACTTCAGTTTGGGTCGTGTTTAACATCAAAAAATGTAAGGTCATCCACGTTTTTAAGTCCTTGAGGCAGTCTTGAATTTTATTTAGATGATTATTTTCATCAGGCTTGATTGATAAATATAGTTGAGTATCATCCGCATAACAATGAAAGTTTACAGAATGATTCCTTATAATATTGCCTAACAGAAACATATATAATGTGAACAAAATAGGTCCGAGCAATGATCCCTGTGGCACTCCATGGCTAACTTTGGTTTGCGTGGAAGATTCATCGTTGACACGTACAAACTGAGAGCGTTCAGATAGATAGGACCTAAACCAGTCTAAAGCAGTTCCCTGTATGCCAACTAAGTGCTATAGTCTTTGCAATAGGATATCATGGTCGATAGTATCAAATGCAGCACTGAGATTGAGCAAAACAAGAATAGAGACAAGTCCCTATTAGAATGTCATTTGTGACTTTAACCAGAGCTGTCTCTGTGCTATGATGTGTTCTAAAGCCAGACTGAAAATCTTCAAATAAATCATTGTTTTTTAAGTAATCACACAGCTGTTTTGCGACCGCTTTCTCAAGAATTTTTGAGAGGAACGGAAGATTAGAAATAGGTCTATAGTTGGCTAAAACCTCTGGATCGAGGTTGTGCTTTTTAAGAAGCAGTTTTATCACTGCTACTTTGAATGATTGTTGAACATAGCCTGATAATAAAGACATATTCATAATATTTAATAAAGAAGTGCTAATTAATGGAAAAACTTCCTTCAACAGCTTAGTTGGAATTGGGTCTAACATACACGTTGATGGTTTAGAAGAGAGAATCATTGAATTTAATTGTTCAAGGTTTATGGCTGAAAAGTATTCTAGTTTACTATCTAGTGTAATATTAGAACTTACGTTTCCGGGAGCTGTTGATAACACTATACTGGTCAAAGGCAAGAGGTCATTAATTTTGTTTCTAAGAGTAACAATTTTATCATTAAAAAAGCACATAAAATCATTACTACTGAGTGCTATGGGAATAGAAGGCTCAATCGAGCTGTGGCTCTCTGTCAGCCTGGCTACAGTGCTGAAAATAAATCTTGCATTATTCTTATTCTCATCTATTAATGAAGAGTAGTAGGCTGCTCTCGCTTTACGCAGTGCTTTCTTATATTCATTGAGAGTAATATGCCAAATTAAACGAGATTCTTCAAGTTTAGTGGAACGCCATATCCTTTCAAGTTGTCTCGACTTTTGCTTTATTTTGCGGGTTTCGGCATTATGCCATGGAGCTAATCTATGTTGTTTTATTTTCTTCTTTTTCAAAGGAGCAACAGAGTCTAATTTTATTTGCAGCGCATCTATAGCACTATCAACAACATGATCAATTTGGGGTGGTGTACATTTTGTATAAGTTTCCTCCCCTACATGCAGACATGCTATCGAGTTACGTATTGGTGGAATCTCTTCCTTAAATTTGGCTATAGCACTAACAGATAGGTTTCTGCTGCAGGAGCTTTTGACTAATGCTTTGTAGTCTAGTAACAGTACTTCAAAAGTTACTAAGAAATGGTCGGATAAAGCAGGATTATGCGGTTCGACTAATAGTTGCTCAATTTCAATACCATAAGTCAGAACAAGGTCGAGAGTGTGATTATAGCAGTGGGTTGGTTTATTTACACTCTGACAAAAACCAACAGAATCTAATATAGAGTTAAATGCAACAGTAAGGCTATTTTTATCATCGTCAACATGAATATTAAAGTCACCTACAATAATTACTTTATCTGTTTTAAGAACCAAAGTTGATAAAAACTCAGAGAATTCTGATAAGAATTCTGAATAAGGACCTGGTGCACGGTACACTGTAACAAATAAGATTGGCTGCAAAGTTTTCCAGGTCGGATGCGTAAGACTAAAAACGAGACTTTCAAAGGAGGTATAATTACATTTTGGTTTAGTATTGATAAGTAAACTTGAGTCAAAGATTGCTGCAACTCCACCTCCTCGGTCCGTGCCTCGGGCAATATGAGTATTGATATGGCTGGGTGGAGTGGCCTCATTTATGCTGACATATTCTTCATGTCTCAACCAAGTTTCAGTGAGACAGCATATATCAATATTATAATCTGATATTAAATCATTTACCAATATTGCTTTAGATGCTAGAGATCTTATGTTTAAGAGACCACATTTAATCTTCCTGTTTTGTTGCACTGTAGTAGTTGTTACTTTTACTTTTATTAGGTTATTATGTATGACACCACTATTAGGTTTTACCTTAAATTGTCCTTGGGCAGACACACACACCGTTAATATTGGGTATTTTATTGGGTTCGGGATTCCTATGGATGACTGCCTAGGAGAGAGCGCAGAGAAGCGTGTAAGACTGCGACTCCGCCTCCTGGTCTCAACTCCAGTTTGTCATGGATTAAGTCCACAAAGCCCTGAAATGTTTGCCGAAATGAGATTTGCACCTTCCAAAGTAGGATGAATGCCGTCTCTCTTAATCAGACCAGGTTTTCCCCAGAAGGCTGTCCAATTATTTACGAAGCCCACATTGTTTGCTGGGCACCACCAAGACAATGTATGTATGTATGTATGTATGTTTTAAGCATTGATTGTTTACAGTTTTAAAGGTTTAATTGCGAGCAACAACTAGTTCTCATTCATAACACTCCGTTCGATGTCTCACTATGGGATGCGCCTCAACGCGTATGCAAACAGAAGCATCAATCTCATTACGCCAATCCTGATTGGCTGGTGATCTTGACGTCAACGTCAGGGAATCCACCCACCCTTTAAGCAGCTTGCGCTACGACGCAGCGTCATTCAAACACCTCTTCTCGCTTCAGAGCACATCTCGATTTATCAGTAACCGGGATAGCTTAACGGTCCACAGACTGAACCCAAAGCTAACATTCGGTCGACGGGCGCTTGCCGGTTACTTTTTTGCTTTGCAAGAAGACTGAGCAATATTAACACACCAGTTAATATTGGAATCTGCCTCGCCGTTTCTTTCTGTCGAAATAACGGTAAGGTTTGATTTTTTCTTCAAGCTAGTAACATACCTGTTGCTAATTTTTTTTTCCCTCCACACCGACACCACGGTAAAGAGGACGTTCTCTTTTCTCTCTCACACCAGAGGAGACAGAGATAAAAAAAAAAGGTATTAACACACCAGTTAATATTCTTTAAAGAATAAAATCTACACCGTCGCCTTTTTTCCTTTCGGACTAACGGCAAGGTTGGATTTTTTTTCTCAGTAACGTACCTGTTACTAGCGTGTCCACTCCACGCCGACACCCCGGCGATCGAAGATGGACCCTTCTCTCCCTCATACCAGAGGAGTCAGGGACTCGGAGGCTCGGCTATGCGGCTGCGGGTTTAAGATTTCAGGCACAGACTCACACCAGGTCTGCTCGTCCTGCCTCGGGCTGGAACACGCCCGGGAGGCTATCGATAACCCCGGCTCGTGCGGGCATTGTACCCGCTTCACCATGAAGAGCCTCCGCCGACGGTTAGCACGCCAAGCTAGCTTGTCGGGACAGGACCCCCTCATGTCCGCTGATTCGCCGGCCGGCAATCAAGACATGGTGGCGTCCGCCGCAGAGATTGAGCCCCGTGCTGTCTCAGACTGGGGCTCAACAACAGCGACAGCCGCTGAACCGGAGCCGTTTCAGGCTGGGACCCGGTGGCGGCAAGAGCCGCGAGAGCGGAGCCCCGCGCTGTGTCAAGCTGGGGCTCCCAATTGGACCTCACCATGGTTCCACCTGCGGAGGATGTCCTGGAGTTGGACTATATGGAGGACGAAGAGGATACCTCTGAGTTCCTCCTGTCTGACTCGGATGACATCTTCGTTTCATCGGCTCAGGCTGCAAAGCCGGGAGCGATGTCCGCTCCCCCGGGCGAGAGCACACCAGCTTCGCCCGTCCTAAGCATGGACTTGCAGGCCGTGTGTCAACGCGCTGCATCCAGGCTGGACATCCCATGGCTTGAAGTGGCCTCCAGATCTCGCTACGAGGCGAAGAACTTGCCCCAAGCAGCGAGGACGAAGAGGCAGCTCCTTCCAGTCTTTCCGGAGATGCTGGACGAGGTGTCGGTCTCGTGGAGAGACCGTCCCTTTAGCAACAAGGCCCCAATCCAGGGTGCCTCCTCCCTGGACTGTGACGGTATGGAGAGGCTCGGCCTGCTCCGCATGCCGCCCATGGAACCGCTGGTGGCAGCCCACCTCCAACCGAGGCTGGCTTCGACACCGAGCAGGAACCCCATGCTACCGGCAAAGGCAGACCGGTTCCAGTCTGAATTCGGTGTCCTTTACAGCCCGCTTGTCAGCAGAGAGAGTGAAAGCCTTTAGGGCTTGCCTCACTCATTTCCAGCCACGCAAATATGTTCTCTTCAGGTCATGTCTGCGGTTGCTGGGGCTCATGGCGTCAGCCATTCTGGTGGTACGACTGGGACTGGGCTTACACATGAGGGAGTTTCAGCGCTGGGTAGCTGCCCTCAGATTGGACCCCGCGCGTCATGGCGCGCGGAGAGTGATGGTCACTATGAAATGCGTAATGGCACTGCGCCACTGGCTACACCTGACTTTTCTAGTACGGGGCGTGCCTATGGGTGCTGTCCTATCGCGGAAGGTGGTCACCACAGACGCATGTCTGACGGGCTGGGGGGGTATATACGAAGGTCGACCTGTGAGGGGTCTCTGGAGCAGAGACCTCCAACGGTCACACATAAATTATCTGGAGCTTTTAGCGGTGTTCCTCACCCTGAAACGCTTTCTGCCTTTTCTCAGAGGACATCATGTCCTCGTGAGGACAGACAACACGACCACAATATTGTATATAAACCGCCAAGGGGGTTTGCGTTCTCTCCAGTTACACATGCTGGCACGCAAACTGATCTTATGGAGCTGCGGACGTCTCCTCTCTCTGAGAGCGACGCACGTACCAGGAGTGATGAACCTCGGGGCAGATCTGCTGTCCAGAGGTGCACCACTATATGCAGACTGGACATCCAATGATTGTGAGTCAGCTGTGGGTGCGTTACGGCCGAGCCGCGGTAGATCTGTTCGCATCAAAAGAAAATGCTCAATGTCAGCTGTTCTTTTCAATGCGTGATTTAAACGCACCGTTAGGCGTGGACGCGCTCACGCACGTTTGGCCTCCGGTCCTTCTGTACGCGTTCCCACCCCTGGCTCTGATACCCCCAACTCTGGCCAGAGTGAGAGAACAACGCCACACACTTATCCTGATAGCTTCGCACTGGCCTGCAATGTACTGGCTGGCGGAGATATATCAGCTGCTGTGCGGGCAGCCGTGGCAGCTCCCACTACGCAGGGACATACTGTCTCAGGCGGGGGGGGACGATCTTTCACCCACACCCAGAGCGCTTGGCACTATGGGCCTGGCCCGTGAGTGGTACAATCTGAATACAGTGGGGCTCCCTCAGAAGGTGATAAACACTATTCAGAGTGCAAGAGCTTCCTCCACCAGGTCTCTCTATGACTGTAAGTGGAGGGTGTTTGAGGAGTGGTGCCTTCAAAAAGGACACATCTCTTTTCAATGTCCTGTCGGGGTGATTTTATCATTTCTACAGGACTTAATTGATAAACACAGAGCTTTCTCTACGATCAAAGTGTACCTGGCTTCTATTGCTGCATGCCATGTGGGCTTTGAGGGAAAGACGGCTAGCCAACATCCTTTGGTCTGCCGTTTTATGAAAGGGGCTCGCAGGCTCCTCCCTGTTTCCAGGTCACTGGTGCCATTATGGGACTTGGCAGTGGTTTTAGATGGGCTCACTCGACCTCCATTTGAACCCCTGGAAGAAGCTGACATGAAACACCTGTCACTGAAGACAGTGCTGTTACTGGCTCTGGTATCTGCCAAGCGAGTCAGTGACATTCATGCGCTCTCTGTACATCCTTCATGCACTCAGTTTGCCCCGGGGCAAACGAGAGTGTTGCTGAAGCTCAACCCTGCCTTTATACCTAAGGTGGTTGGCTCATGTACCCCCATTGACATTGTGGCATTTCCTCCGCCGCTGTGTTCCTCTGAGGAACAGCGGCGAATTTGCTGTGTCCAGTTTGTGCTTTACGCATCTATATGGACAGGTCAAAAGAGTTTCGTTGTAATGACCAACTCTTTATATCCTGGGCTAACCCTCAGAAGGGCAAGCCCGTTACCAGGCAACGGCTCTCCCACTGGATTGTGGAAGCGATTGCTCTGGCTTATACGAGTCAGGGTTTGCAGGCACCAACGGGCCTGCGTGCTCATTCTACTCGTGGACTGGCTACATCCTGGGCTTTGTTCAAGGGTGTTTCCATCCAAGACATTTGTGCAGCAGCGAGCTGGTCCTCGCCGCTCACTTTTGTCTGCTTTTACAGGCTAGATGTCTCTGCTCCAAGTGTGGCCCGCGCAGTGCTGGGTCCCGTGTTGAGACAGGGTTCTACCTGTTAAGTTCTGGTTGTTTTGGTGATTTTCGAGATAAGCATGTCTAGCAATACGGGAGTTTCAATATCTCATAGTGAGACATCGAACGGAGTGTTATGAATGAGAACTATAGAGTAACATGAAGTGAGATGTCTCACCAGACGGCCCTTCTTGCTAAGGCGAAGCGAGAAGAGGTGCTTATTTTGAATGACGCTGCGTCATAGCGCAAGCTACTTAAAGGGTGGGTGGATTCCCTGACGTTGACGTCAAGATCACCAGCCAATCAGGATTGGGGTAATGAGATTGATGCTTCTGTTTGCATACACGTTGAGGCGCATCCCATAGTGAGACATCTCACTTCATGTTACTCTGAGAACTGGGGTTACGTAAGTAACCTATAGTTTTGTGAAGAATATAGGTTTAAACTGCTTCAGCTGCAGTGTATCTTGAAACTACCACAAGGGTCCCTAGGCTCTTGTCAGACATTCAGTCAGACAAGTCAAAAAATGCGGAATATTTGTGCTGCAAATGGTTTACTTCCTTTCTGAAATACAAAAAAATAAGTGTCTGTATCATTTTGATTCTGACTTCCTCTGTAGGTGTGGCGACCCTCTGTCTGGTGCCCCCACCCTGACCCAGGCCCGCCACAGGGCCCACCTGCAGCAGTGTTTTTCGGCCATGGCTCAGTACCAGCGGTACCGGGACCTGGACCTGGCTCTAGCAGCCGAAGGTGTCCGCCTGGCTCTCACCAGCCTGGGCCGGATCACTGGACGTGTCGGGGCAGAGGAGATCCTAGATATCATCTTCAAAGACTTCTGCATTGGAAAATGAGCAGACGAGTGTCAGCGAAAACATGAAGTATGACTCTGCTCAGAGAGGAAGGCTGCATTCTTGCCTAGTCCCAGAGTAACAGTAAAGAAAACAAGATAAAAAAAGAGCAGGGTCATTTTGCTCCCAAGACACAGAAATCTTTGTTTTATGTTAATGCTCTGCAAAAGACTGAAATAGTTTTAACGTGATGACAGGTGCCTCTGAGGCCCCATGTGCTGGCCAAGTGTTTGGCAAGTCTTGAGTCATAATGTAAAATTAGTTCTTGAAAGCTTTTGATAGGTGAACATTGGGCTCTTGGGCCGCAACATTACAGCCAAGATTCTTTCAGTAAAACAAGCCCGCTGCAGACCTGTGAGAGGTCATGGACTCAAACTGTGGATGTTTACTTGAACTGCAAGACAATGCATTTATTTTTCTTTTGGGTGGGGTGGGGGGGGAGGCATTCTAACAATTAAAATGTACTGTTTGTTATTTATTTACATTTTAAAGTTTATTTCATTTTCAAAGAAATTAGTAAGGCTATTTAAGATTTGGACAGCAGTTATTTCATACAAAATAAACACGTGTCACATTGGGTCTTGATGTGTAGTAGGGGGATAATAATAAATCAAATTTTATTTCATAAATCAAAAAGAGAAACAGAAAAAATCTTATAATAAATACATAAGATTATCTTTAAACCTGCATTCATTTCAGAATGTTGACACATGTAGTGTAACAACTGATTGATTTGGTGAGTTCTAAATCCTACATAAAGCACATCATAATGTATACAGCATTTGGGTCGGTGTGGCCCCGCCCGCTCCCCTCTCTGCTCTGTGGGAAGGGGACGTTTTTGGAGGCAATGCTTTTGGTGCCCTTTGTTCCCCTGTCAATCTGAGCCCCATCAAATATTTATGTTTCCTCGTTGAACTTCCCACCCTTCTTCCCCAGGCGGTTTCTTCTCTGACGACAGTTGCCCTGCTGTACTTCAGCATGGCTGCCCGTCTTGCTACTTTTTTGTCTCTCTCCACTTTGTCTCGGCTACCTGACCTTTCCTCTTTCCGCACTGTCCTGTCAGCCTTTTGGTCCTCTTTCATGTTCCCCCTGATTAATCACCACACCGGGGGAGTTGAAGCTAAAAGCAGGACTTGCTGTCGTACAAATTAGAGGCAGTAAATTGTGGAGCCTGGTTTGTCTTTGAAGTCGTGCCTGTGTGACATTTCTTTACCACAGATGTGAAAAAATTTGTTTACCAATGCCTTGGGTTTCTACTGTATTTTCATACCAAAACAATACTTATTTTGATACCTTATTTTCAGAAAATGATTGTGATTGGTCTACAACTTTAAGTTTTGAAATGTATTAACAATATTATATGGACTGCCAGGAAGTTTTTTTTAACAGTCATGGTCCCCAGAGGATGTCTCCTAAAGGCTTTGGTGAGTCAAATTTATGATTTATAAGTATTGAACGGGTTGCCATTATATTTACTACGGATGATGATATGCACATCACAACCGTCCAGTTGTCCAATACTACAAACCTAATGACACTCCGACAATAAGGACCCGCCTCAACTCTACTTTGTGTATAGAGCTACTCAGAAAATGTTATTTGCCTAACAAAACACAGTTAAAGGAGACCTATCATGCTATATTTGAATAATATATTGTAGGGCCATACATATATAAGGTATATTTATACGTTTTTTTTCAAAATACCAAACAGATCATGCATTTTAGCCATGCCTCATTTCGCTCTATTTTCCTCTCCTCCACCTTGTCTTTGCATGCGCTGCAGCTGACCACGCCCCCCTGCAAAGGAGGGGGTCGAGTTATGAGCGTCATGTTACCATGCTGTTACCATGCCACGGCAACCTCTCATTCCCCTGATAGGTGTAGAGTTGGCCATATAGGCGGAGCTCCTCGTCACTGATGTCAGACTATTTTCAAATCTGTATCAGATCCGTTGCAGCCCCATTTTTAGAGATTTGGGTATGGAGGAAAAGAGAGACGGTTGTGTTTTCTGACACTTGGTGAGTTCCTTGACACAACGGAGACACATATTCAATTATAAAAGACGTACAAAAGTGCATTTTGCATGATAGGTCCCCTAAGTTAACATATGGATATAAATATTAAACCTGCTTAACATCAGCATGTAAGAATCATCTTAACATAATCAGCCATTTGGCTTACCATATGTAAAAAGATGTTGAGGGAAGAAAATATAAACACAAAGCAATATAAAACACATAATTAAAAGAATTAAGATAATTCAAATGAAAACATACCTTGAGTAAGATTTAACATCTAATACATATTAATATTCTTTACTGGATACTGGATGGCGCTAAAGGAGAAATCAGAAGAGTGATTAGGATTCATGTTTGTAACAAATTTCATGCATTAGTTGTTAAAACCTTTAACTTAAAACCACCATTACATAGAATTCCTTGTAATAGTTGTTGGGATATTTCAGGTCTAGACTAATGGTGAATAGACAGACCACAGGCAAAAGTAAAAAATGACAGTGTAAATTGGTTAATTATATAATGCAACTGAAGTGAGTTAAATAATTGGACAACATTTGTATTGACGCTAATCACTTATTCCACTCTTTTCTTATTGTGGAAATATTTATGTCATGACCTGGTTCACAGCCCACTCAGCAGCGGTACTGTAAGCTTTCTGTCTGTCAGCTTCCTGTAGTTATGATGAATGGCTGTCCTGAGAAGTGAGGTTGACGTAGCAATGTCGTGTACAGTCAGGTCCACCCTGGACCCATTTGACGTAGAGTCACTGTGTCTGTGTGTTCAGGTCTATACATGGCAAAACACTTGTTAAACAAAGGATTTCCTGAGAACAAGAGGCAGACTGACTCACCTGTAACACTCTCATCCATCAGCGCAGTCAGTCTCACTGAGCGATTTAAGCTTGCCAGAAAGAGAACAGCAAGGAATTATGAAATGCCTTATGAGTAACAAAATTCAATAACGATTTTTAAATATAACAATTGCAAATGAATCGCTTCATGAAAGTTATAGATTCTGTTATTTAAAATGTATACGTCTTTTTTTTTTGTCAATGTATTCACAACCTCCATTCTAATCACATTTCATATCGAAAGAAAGTATAGAAATGAGTCATCACATTTCATAGTGTGTAAAATATTTGTTCAAAATGATGAAGAAAAAAAAGAACCAAATTCAATTAAAATGGTGTGTCTAACCCGTCCAGCGATGTGATGCATTGATTTGGAGTCACTTGTTCACATGATGTGAAAGCTATTTTTAAAAGATTTGCCTTTTCAATGGAAAATATATACATTTTCAACGATATATTCCTATTAAATAACAAAACCTCTGAAATTCTATTAAAATAGGTTTGTCCTAATCATCCAGCTTTGAGTAGGACAATTATTGAAAATAAATGATTGACTTTCAATAAGAACACAGCTGAATTTTCAAAAGAGTATTTATATAATTTGGAAATTCAAAGAAGAAGGAACATTCAAAGATGTCTTCCCTACATGTCAAGTGTAGTTTTAACAATCTACTTAGATTTGTAGGCACTGGGTCAATTAGTCTAAACGTTTCATATTCATAAAATATAGAAAAAGAAAAAAAAGTCATAGTATGGTATGTCAAAAAAAAAGTAATCAAAGAACGTATAGAATTTGACATGATGACAAAATGTAACTGTTGCTCTGGGTTTCAGCAGGTAAGCCAATCGTTCATAGGGAGGATTGAGGGGGGGAAACGGATGCAGAAACAGCAGGGAGTCACACGGCTAATCGTTCTTATGAAAGGAAAAGGAAGTAGTAAAGCTTTAGAACAGTTCCGATAACATCTAATGTAGTGAACTCGTTAAATTCCTTGTAAAATTGCTATTAATTCATTTATTACTCAATTTTACTGAGTAAGAAGTTGAAAACTAACTAACCTATTCATGCTAAATCTCTTCCTTCCGATTTCTGGCCCCTAAATCTTTACGACTGCTAGCGAGTCCCTGATGTGATGATGTATTTATGACTTTGTCTCTGTATGTGTTGTCGTCTGGTCTGCGGAAGAAATTCAAACATTAAATTCTGTGCTAGTGGATGCTATTTTAGGAGTATTCTGTTTATTGCAGACAGTGAGCAGTTGCTGGCCAAAGTCATGTCTGAGTCTTTGTTTTTAATAACGTAATGACGTATAGAGACGAACAACACTGAGGACAATACAGTTCAGGAGTGAGTCAGTTTCATTTTATTTCCAAACAAAAGATTTACAGTACAACAAACATAACCAGACGAATATTTACACCAGTGTAATTGACATTTTTACATTTACCTTGGTTGGCTTTTCAACCAATGTTTAAACTTACACACAAATTCATATTCTAATCCAAGTAGAGCTAAACAAAGCATGCACAGTCCAACAACAGCAAGTCATTAATATGGACTCTTTATTATGTACAAATTAAAGTTTGTTGTATACAGAAAATATACATGTAATCTTTTGAAGATTTAAAGGCAAAATGTTGACAAATGTTTCTTCAGTCTGCAAGTTCATTTCATCTCCCCTGTAAGACAAAATATTGATTAGAATGAAATATCAATAGCAGCAGGGGATTTTTGAAAAATAAATAAATGTTGATGCAGAGATGTTTGCAGTAATACTTTATAAAACATATAGAAACACATAATATAAGGTGCAAGCTATGAGAACTACAGCTGAAGTTAGTCTATTTGATGCTATTTTTAGCAACATTTGCCACATAGCAGCAGAGATCATAACGTCTTTTGTCATCCAACAATTGGATTCAGACCGAATTATCCAAATAAATACTACACGGATTCCCACTAAATTTATTGAAATGTTCGTAGACCATACAGGACTAAAACTACTGAATTTGATTATCTTGAACAGTAATTAAGGATTAATTATATTCACAATTACTTTCACTTTTCATCTACCGCCACCCTCACATCAAACTGTAAACTATCCAATTATTATTATGCTTAAATGTTATCACATGATCTGTATAGTCAACTAAAACACAAAATATGATAACACTAACTGTAAAGTCATTAAAGTAATCTAATGATGGTATTTATTTTAATATAAAGTTTGGGGGCTGATGCCAGCAAATGCTCCAATGGAAGCTTTGGGGACAACAGCCTGAAAAACAAATGAAAAATGATCTCAGTATAGTTTAACATTACACACTGTTTTATATCTGTGCAGCTTTTACTGACTGTGCATGGATAAATACTCCTCACACTCGTAAAGAAAATGGGCCATTTTGTGAACTTATGACTTCTTGAAAATAGTTTCCCTTTGTTATCTTGCCTGTCCATCCTTCCTGCCGCCCTTAAATTCTTCTTTTCTGCTCAGTCCTCACACATGACCTTACCTCTGCACTGCTGTCCAAGTAATAGGTGGAGTGAATATTATTCGAAAACAGAGGGTTGCATACACTCAGAACGCCAAATACAACACGGCTTCTTTTGAACCAGCTTAAGTTAATGCATTACATAATCACAACAATCTGTGCTGACTGAATGAGGGTTCTAAATCATTGCCTCACAGCTGCCTTCCCCTTTTCCTGACATGTGTTTGTAGAGAACAAAATGTCTTGTCCTCTGTTTTTGCTTTACCTTGGTATTGGGCTGAGCAGAGATCGTTCCCTGGAGGTTCTGAAGCTCTCTGTCTCTCAGGGCCAAAGTGTCTTCCAGCAGCTTCTTCTGATCCCTCAGCTGGTTCTGCTCAATCAGTAACTTCTCCACCTTAAAAAAAAAATGCATATTTAAATAAAATATTATATAATGATTATTGCATTAAGATGGCAGTCCCACTTTTATATCCAGATACAGAGTGAAACAGCTTGTTCCGGGGATGTCTGCCTTGTTTCCACCCACACATGCATACACACATTCCTAACCACAGATATATAATGTACCTGGTTATCGTGAGTCTTCTGTTTGAGCTGCAGCTGATTGGCTGACTCCGCGGCCGCCTCTTTGCGAGTGTTTTCACACTGCTTCAGTTCAGAGCTCGCATGTGAGTTTTGCACCTCCAGACGACTGGAAAAGGCTTGGATCTCAGCCACCTGGAAGAAGAAAATAATTGTACTTTTAATAAAACGTTAAATATGTTCATCTGACTTCCAGATGGTACCTTTACAGTACATCATTTGTTTGCCATTTGTCTATTTCTATGGAGTATGAACAAAATCTCCCTGAGAGACACAGCACATAGTTTAGTGAAACTTGCACAACCATAAAATAAAGTAAATATTTATATAAAAATAGGAAATAAAAATGTGCCATAAATGTAGCCAAATGCTGTGAGATGTAGCGTCTCTCTCATCCCAAAAAACACAACCATGACTAGAATACAATTGGCTCAGAATTGGGTTAACATGGAGAAAAAAAGTAATGAAGAGGTTCCAAAAACACAATTACCCCCAGATTTATGACAAAGATGGAGACAGCACATTAAGGAACTGCTACAGAATGAAACAGGCAGGGGTTAAATTGGGCCGGGGCTGTCCGGGGTTCAGCCCCGGCACATAGGACGATGCTCTGACGCCATCACCCTTGCTCATTTGTCATTTGTTTAAGCCATATGTTAAAACATCTCTCGTTCTTAATATAGACTTTATTTAGGGTTGATGTGTTGACTTTACTTTAAAATAGCAGATCTCTGTGACAGGATATAGTTTTTCCGCTTAGTGAACGTGTGTCTCTGCTCCTATCAGGAGCTGCAGCACCGCGGCTCCTTCGTGCAGAGTCTGCAGCGGTGTGTGTGTGTGTGTGCAGAGAGTCTGCAGCGATGTGTGTGTGTGTGTGTGTGTGCACAGAGAGTCTGCAGCGGTGTGTGTGTTTGTATGTGTTTGTGTTTCCTACACCATCAGGGCCGGTTCTAACCAATTTGCTGCCTAGGCGAGATTTTAGCTGTATCCAAGGAATACACAATAGAATATATAAAAAATAAATGAAAAATCTCTACAAAAGACCTATACACTACAAAAACAGAAACTTATTGACATGTTGGTTATATACATCAAAAAGGCTTCAAATGTATTCAGTATTGTATGAACATGTTTGAAAATGTAAAGTAAAATGCTTCAATCTGGTGCACTTTAAGCACACATTACTAGAGACTAGATCTAGGGGGTACAACTCTAAACACCCATATGAAAAAGATCGGTTTACATTTGAATAACCAAATATGTATGTGAACATAACCAATAACCTACCATAGCCAATAACAAATAAATGTAACTTTTTTTATTTTTGTTGTTCATTTATATCTTATTTTACCTAGTTAACATTTATTTATGCATATTTTTTTATCTCTCAAGTTTTAAACAATATTTTTGGTTTACTGTCCTATAGTATACATTGAAATGATTTCAAACCTGTTTACCCCAATAATTATAAAGGAGTGCCTTGGAAATATTTGTTTACATACATTGCATTTATCTCTCTCGCTCGATCCCACGCCCACTTTGGCTGTGAGCTGCGGACGCCTGATAAGCCAACACCCCCCACTTTCATCACTTACAGCTCCCATTGTACAGGGCAAATGAAACGTGTAACCGGGGTGAAAAGGCTGTTACATTTACTTAATTATGAATGTCGTTACATCAAGGCCGAAAATTAGGATGAGCGCAAACAGTCAAAAATGTTTTTTTCCCTCCCAGAGCTGCCAGCGCAGAGCCCCCCCAGATCTGGCGCCCTAGGCGACCGCCTAGGACTGCCAAAAACCGGCCCTGTACACCATGCTAAATGTATGTCTGCATAAAGCTGAGTTATGATCGGTCACACAGAATTTGGTGATGATTAAATAGTTTACAGTGAGATTTACTCCCATACTTTTGGCCATACTCACGTAGCCCTACAAATGAATTGAGATTTCCACACAAATGTTCTTTAGCAAGTGTGCAGAGCAGTGTTGATTTAAAAAAGAAATTTGAAGGTTGGATATTTGTAAACCTTTTTTTGTGTATATAAATTAATAATTTAAGATGTGAATGAATTCCAGTTTATTTGTAGTACTTTCTATTTTTATTGTGACATTTGGTGGCATCAATGTGTGCATTTGATACAGATAATGGAGCAGTTGCTTTAGGGCCACAGTGTATATCCCTTAAGGTCAAATAATGAGATCCTCTCGCATCTCCACACAGAGCCCCCCCACATATCAAATCCCAACGTAACCCCTGGAAACAGGTATTTGCTGAGGCTCTGAATTAGTTGTCCCACACTGTGCTGCTGTATCAGCAGAGACACTCTTTTCACCTCGGCTTTGACCCTGAGTTGGCCTCGGAGGACGTGTGTCTCTTTAGCTGTAGATTTATCACGAATGACGCAGCGGAGAGACTTCCTCCCCAGAGAACCTGGTTTCCTTTTCAATTTGTTGTTTGGAATATTCCATCACAGTTTAGGCAAAGTTTAAAGAAAGGGTGGCAAGAAGTGAGAACAACCTCTAACAACTGACAATTTCAAGGGACATTTTTTTTGTAGAACCATTTCATGATATTTCATTCTTCTACTTTTTACTCCAGCTCATTACCGGTTAATTTTTTTATCTTAAGATCTTACATAAAAAAACAAAGGATAAGCTTACATACAATTAATTGTTAAGATTAGACCAGTGGTTTGAAAGATTTTCACTGTAAACTGATCAGACGCTTTAATTAAAATAACTTTGCCAGGACAGAATAGCAGCAAAAAGGGCAATTTAAGAAAGTCCGAAAATGAAATAAGAGTTTGTGAAGCATGACTTTTTCTTCTCTTCTACCTCTTGAATCACTATGACGCCTCTAAGTTCTTATAAGTGCTTTACTCTCTGCTTTACTTCTCGTCTCGAGGCTGTGAATTTAAGCATACACCAAGAAGGGCACACCCATCTGTCATTTTAGACATCAAGCCATCACACCTTACAGAATTATAAAGTGTTGCACTAACCTTGCTGCCCACATTGTCCAAATACAGCTGGAACTTATTCTCCACATCTTTGGACAGGTTAGTGCATTTGTTCCTGATCTTCTCCATCTGCTCCTGCTGGCGGTCGCAGGTGAGGTGAAAGGTCAGCTGGTGGGGAAACAGGTTGTTGATCTTGGTCAGGAAATCGCTGGTCACCTTTTTGATCCCGTCCAAAGAGTGGGCAAAGTCCTCCTTGCATTTCCTAGTTAAAAAAAGAGATCCAATCTTGATCATGTTTATTCTTAATTGTTTTAGATACACACAGGGCAGATGGGGGGTAGACAGTACCTGGTGTAGGTGGTGAGCTGCTCGTTCAGCATGGTGTTCTCCCTGCGCAGGGCGATGGCGTCCTGGTGGTGAATGTCTCTGTCTTTGAGGGCGTTGTCTCTCTCCAGGCTCAGGTACTGCACCGTCTGGGTGAAGTTCGCCACAATCAGGTTGATCATGGCTTTCTGCTGGGCGTTCAGGGTCTGAAGAGTCTTCATTTCACCTGGAGGATTCAGTGGAAAACAGTATTATCACAAGAAAGCTTAAAAAAAATACTTTTAGCAACATTGACCGTTTTGCTTATGATAATATTAAGTTATATAATAATATAATAATTTTCTTTAGATCAGTTATTAGATATAATTAAGACACACGTTTGGGTTGCCAGGATGTGAGACATTGTTTGAGTCTATAAGAATGAGGCTATCATTTATAATAAACCACCAATTCTGCTGCCATAAATGTTAATAAGTAATAATGCGCCAGTGAGATGTTTCCTAACCCTAGAAGCCAGAGAAACCATTATTCAAGCCATTACATATAATGTATAAGGAAGTGGTACCATTATTTGTTTATTTTAACGTTTAACTTATTTAACATATCACAAAAAAACGTCCAACCATCGTGCCTAATATTAACCACATGGACTTTTATTTTATTGTACATATATTCAAAATATAAATATTAAAATGAAGAAGTACACACATACCGCTGTTAGTGACAGGAGGGGTCTGGATCGGAGGGGTGATACGACGTGACATAATGCTTGTGATTGTCGATGCACTCGTTCTCTCACAGGTAGCCTATACATACAAATAAATATATGTATTTACAGCAGGAATAATATTGTATATAACATTTTTTGCATTGAGAACTTTTACTTTTTAGATTTTAAGTAACATGTCCAATTTTATATTTAAATACTTTTACTCAAATGACATTCAATGCATAACATTTACATCAAATTAAGTATTTCTACAGATTGATATTAGTAATCTTTCCCAATAAAAGGGTCTGAATACTTTCACCAACACATGACAACAAAAGAATAACTGGAAAATGCCAAAATAAATTATTATATTGTATAATTTGTACATTGTAACTTTATTTTAAGCTTCATCTGTTCGGAGAATTATTTGAAGATGATTAAAATGTGTGAAAACAATTTTAACAGCTGCACAAAACGACCTGCTTCTCTTAGCATTACACCAATCAAGTCATGTACTTACTAATTTATCTTTTAGGATAAACTCTGTCTTGTTGGTGTCAGTCTTTAGCTTGGCCAGCTCTGTCACCAGAGCAGCTTTCTCTCCGGTGCGAGCTCCCAGCTGAGCTCCCAGCTCGCCCTTCTCCTTCCTCAGCTGGATGTTGTTCTCACTCAGCCTGTTGAAGTTCACCTCCAGGTCCTTCAGAATACCAATCAGACCACTCAGCATCATCATGACTGTATTTACAGCCCTGAACACATTATATTTATAAACATAATAAGTATTGTAATGTCAGAAACATTGAAAGTGATGATTCAAGCTGCCTGCTTAAACACCAACAGTTTGATCAAAATCTTCTGCAGAAATGATTTGATCAGATTTTTCAAACCTCATCAGGTCTCTTTTAGTTATTCCTACTGTTTTGATCATTGTTACTTAACTTGAAAATACATTTAAGAGTTGTTTGTCAAAAATATTATTAAAATCTAATAATTGTATTGTAATGTTTTTGTCTTAAAACATGTTTTAAATTAGATGATTAATAGCTGACAAAATAAATTGAGGTGAATATACAAGAAGAAATCACTGACCTCAACTCTCTTCTCCTCGGCTGACTTCTCTGGCTGTCCATAGATGAGGAAGAGCACCAGGCTGACGATGATGAGGGACTGGATCAGAGAGGAGAAGAAGAAGACGATCCTCATGTAGTAGCCGCAGCTCTTTCCTTTGTGTTTGTGCAGGGGCTCCCTTGCCTCCAGGCCAAACTTGGCCCGGGAGTAGTTGGAGCTGTACATGGCGGCTGGAGGAGAAATGGTGGCAGCTGGTTCTGGAAAGATCTAAATAGGAACTCTTTTTTGCCAAAATATCCACAAGGTTTCCGTTCAGATGTGATCTTTGCAGATCAGGTGCTGCGGCATCAACTAGACTCTGTGGAGCAGAACTGGAAGGAAAGCCAGATGTGGGATGATGGTCCGTCTTCTATAGCTCTGTCACACTGCCAGGGTACAGAAACGTACATGCAGAAATGGCATGTATGGATGGATGTAAACAATGACCAGTAGGTGTGTAAAGGGGCCATGTTTATAAACGCTGCTGGAGACACACTTCCAGTCCATCCTGACCCATCCTCCCCTCCCTCTGTCGCAGTAGCAACCTCCAGCTACACCGCTGCCAGAATTATCACACGTCCGGGCCGTTGAGACAACAGGGAATTAATGTGGCAGGAAGAATTAATACATTTAAAAAATCCCCTCTACACATGTGTAGAAATAATCTTTGCACAAAAAGTTTGATAGATTTCTCAATAACATCTGAACATTTGAAAGTGTGAGGACTATCTTTTGTCCCTTTTTAACTTAAAAGTTAGGAAAGGATTTACATCCAGTAACCAACTATGTGTTAACTTTGCATCATGTTATTGTTGTTCTAACATGGACATAACAAATGTAAAAGTTATTCAGATCCTTTACTTAAGTAAAAGTAATTGTATCACATTGTAAAAATGATCCACTGTAAATAATAGTCCTGCATTGCAACATGTTGTCACCTTTTCACCCTCAGCTAAATGTTTTTAGTGTAGAAAGTGCTTAAGGTAACCAAAACTATTTTTGTTATAGTCAAGAAAGAGCTTATTTAACTTACTTATTACTGAACGTACATTGTATTTATTTAGATAATCATGTTTTATATGTAAAATCTTCACCTAAGAAGTGATTTTAGCTGTCAAATAATTGTAGTGAAGTAAAATTGAAGTCCAATGTTACCCCCTGAAATGTAGTTAGTAACTTGAGTAAATGCAGTAATTTTCCACCACTGTCTGCACAATATTTAAATATCGCTACAGAAAGCCCAATTATTTTTCCCCTGGTGGTGGATGAACAATGTAATCCATGTAAGGAGTAAAAGCAGAACATAACCAACCAAAAAAATCCACCATATCCTGTTCCAGGCACGGAAAGGAGTCAGAGCATTGGAGGAGTGAAAGAATGAAAACAATAGGGACCTGTCATTCTTCAGGGATGAGGGAATAACAAATTCTCCCTGGAGCCCAGACGCACTGGATCCCCCCCCGCGCTGTTTTCAGCAGTGATGACGTGAGGAACAGCCAACTCTTCTGGGGAAGTGTGTGAAAGGGGAAAGGTCCTCTGAGCCCGAGGTTTTCCTGCTCCCCATTGTCTCCCTGACAACCTGTCCTCACCGGAAAATAACTAATTTATGAAGGTATGTTAGAGTGACAGAAAATGAGTGACTATCAGGAGTCAGGCCTCGGATCACCTTCTGAACAAAAACAGGAAACCAAACGGTTGAAGACTGAGATGAAAACACCTCTTAAGATAACTGACCGGACACATTTAGGGTGACAGGAAAATATATATCTTCTATTGAAGTGATATAAGTGCCATAGGTTGATAACAGATAGTGTTTTTTTTAACATAATCTGCTTAATCATGAATACAGGTCCATGAAACAGAAATTAGACACTGATGATGAAGCTTGACAGTGAGATGTCTGGAGGTTATACACAGACAAATGAATCAAAAAAGCTGGAAAAACACTGATTAAAGCAGGAAACCATTTCTCAAAACTGACACTTGTGAAAATGATAATACTATTCTCTACTCTCAAGAACCTTAGCAGCTTTTTGAAGAAGGTCTTTGAATTTGTAAAGATTTCTGGAGGGACTTTGCTGCCATCTCCTGACAAAAACACAGAAAGCACATGAAGATGAGACTTGTGATTCACTATGCCTTCTTTTAATATCCATAAAGGGCTTCAAAAATGTATGTACAATGTGTTCTCAAGTGCAGCTAGACGCGCAGTATGGGGGGCCTTTTTCTTAATCAGTCCATTATCTAAAGAGATAACTGTCAGAGGAGCTGCTTCAACATTACTGTACATTCACTCATTTTCTTTGTGACATACAAGAGTGACAAAACAACTAAAGATTAAAAACAAGTAAACAACCCTGTATAAAATAGAAAATACATTAAGACAAGCTTCAAAACGTGTAAATAAACAAAAAGGGAAGGCAATGTTACAGAAGCTGTGACCTCTGTGATACAGTATATCATGTTACAGTTCGTCCCAAAGGTCTAGCTATGAAGAACTGTCACAGGCTTGCACTGATTTCACTTTTTAAGACTTACAGACAGATCAGTGTGGTCTGAGACTAAAAAGAAAAAACAAATGGTAAGGGCGGGAGTTTAACAAAGCCTGATGATTAAACCATCTTCATTTTAAATTATTTTTTGTATTTTGTCCTTCTACTTGTGTCCTGCTCCTAGACTCTCTGACATGTATTTCATCCTGTCACCTAGGAGACCTCTAGCACTTCAACAGCTAACAACCGGATGATGTTGTTACTTCGCCAGCTTAAAACAATTAATGACTCATTAATTTGTCTATGGAAACACAATGATTGTGTTCACAGTAACTGCTGACACCCTCTTGTTTCTCTAGAAATTCACCTGGCTTCCCAAATATTCTTACAAATCATTTTTCTACAGCAGCTAATGGAGTTACCTCAGTAATGATTGGACTTAAAGAAAATATACCCAATTGTTATCAACTACAGTGTGTGCATGAGAAACAGGGCGTTAGTGTGTCCTGTTTTAGACCGTTGCCTCAATGTCCTGGGGGTCTTCCCCCTCCAGCAGGCTGTAAGAAGCGTGGCTCTGAAAAGGTCTTTGTAGAGGGTGGGCCAGGAGTTTGGCCATACAGTTGTGCAGCTCGATGGCCGGTCCAGTCAGGGAAACCTCGAAGCGATAGCACATTCCCTTTGAGTCCAGGTTGCAGAAAGAAGTGTAGTTGTCCTGGAGACAAAAATAGAAAAAATAACACACCGTTGAAATGCAGCACATAGGGGAAATATCCCAATTACATCATCAAGTGCAAATCTGTCATATTTAGGTTGGTCTAAGGAGGGCTCTGACCGCTCCACACTGTTCAGACTGAGTAAGATGGACAGAAGTATCTGAATGAATTCATTTTTAAAAAAAAAAAACAGGAATGAACGGAGTCCCTGAATGGGTCATGGTGGGATTTTCTTTACTTTACTCTTTGATCTATTTTTAAAGGTAGGGTATGTAAGTTTGAGAAACCGGCTCGAGATACACTTTTTGTTATATTCCATGGAATGCTCTTAACATCCCGATAGCAATGAATATTTTAAGTGCTTTGACAACAAATCCATAACAAAATGTCATGTGGAAGCCTGTAAAAAGCACGACCAATCATCTGAGCCGGCCCGGCTAAAATAACTGGATGGCCTACCTGCCTGTCAGCCTTCCATCGGGGCACAAACTTATCTCGTGCCCTCATTGGTCATGTGCGCGTTCGTGTGTGTTGGAGGAGGGGCTCTGTGAGGAAGTGGCAGATTTTCTCCGGTCGTGTATTTTCAAATTCTAGCACACTCGAGCTGGTTTCTCAAACTTACCCCAGAAACGTCCAGTCAGTGCATTGTGGGTTAATGTTTAATATTGCAAAAAAACATAAAATTACTTTTAAGATAATGTTAAAGTTAGAGTACCACTCTTTGCGATTTGTGATATTTGGCTGCAAAAAATAAAATGACCTTGACAAACAAACCTGAGCCAAACTACGACTTATGTTCTGGTTTAAATCTAAATGGATAATTGTCTTTTCATCCGTTTCTTCACTCACCCTCCAGCTGGTCTCATCCCCCTGCTCGTCCACCCCGTTGTGGAGGTAAACCACATCAAAGAAAAAATATGGAGACTGCAGCATTTTCTGTGGTAGGACACAAGAACAAGCAAGGCTTTAAATGTAAAATAAATGCAACCATCAAGAAAACAAGAGACAGAAGATATTGTCAAATTCACTATAAAAGCAACAATTTTACTCAAATTCAGTCCGGATATCTCAAAGAGTGTCATACTCACATTTACCGCCTCCGATGGGTTGAACTGCAGCTGTCCTGCATGGCGACTGTAGATAAGCACAGTCCGCACCACGTACGGCGGAGGGACGGTCTGAACATTGTCCATCAACGGCAACTCGATCTTCTGACGTCTAAAAGGACAACGGAAGAAGAAATGAGCCTCAGTTAACACTTCTATGTAACGTTTAATTTATTTTGAAGGAAACCAAAAAGGTTTATAGACAGAAAGAACTTACATTACATTAAGAAGATCCTCAAGGTCTACAGAGGACAGTTAAGGTTACAATTAAGAACTGGAATCTATTTGAAATTCTATTGCGTTATAGTTTCACATTTATTTTAATTGTTTAAGAGTTTGAATTGAGTTTTGAATAAAAGGATACTGAAGGTCTCGCACACATTGGTGTCAAGGTCGTACAGACAGCTGCACAGCTCTCTGGGGTCCGAGGTGAAGCCCGACAGCTGAAGCACATACACAAGTACATCACATCAGAAAACAGAAGACAATGTTCCAGAGAACTGCGTGTTATATTTGAAGCAAATTAAAACCAGAACTCACCCACAGAGCGTCATCATTGACCACTACCAGAGCAAACTCATGGCGTTTGTCAATCTTGTGTTTAGTTCTGACAAACATCTCTATCATCTTCTGGGATATGTTCAGGGCATTTATTTTAGACCTAAAAGGGAAAGGAAGTCACATTAGGGTGTGATGACAAATGAAAAATAAGCTCTGAGGAATAAATATTTATTTTGCTGTAGCCTACCCATTAAAAGACTCCAACTTTGACAAAGCCATCTCTTCCGAAAGGTCTAAGCAGATGATCTGCCATGAGGAAGACAACAGCAGAGAGTACAGGACTCAGATGGATCATTTGGAGGTGTTCTCAGTGGGGTTGTAAGAGGTACTTATCCATAGCCAGCGTATTACTTACAGGAAAAAGTTTCAGACAGACAGAAGTACCTGCACAGAAGTTGAAGAATGTACTGCTGTGGACAGGTAAAGCCTCAACATGTATTTGAGCCTAAAAAAAATAGGCCCACCTTTAAAAAATTTGAACATTTTATTCGCTTTCACGTGCCTGACGGAGAACTGACGCCGCTATCTATGCTCCCTCCAAAGCCACCAGACTTCTTAGACAAAAACAGTAATATAACCAGGGCTGCACATAACTGGTGCGGAGGTGCGCATGCGCACCTCCGCCAAAAAAAGAGCACCGGGTCATTTGAAACAAAGCGCATTTGCGTACCAACATTGAGAGAGGGAGAGAGAGAAGGGAAAAGAGAAAATAGAGGAGAGAGGAGAGATGAGAGAGAGAGAAGAGAGAGAGAGAAAGATATTTGCGAGTTGCATACATGTATGAACCATGATATGAACTCAGGGTCGGCCCGTAGCGCTGGCTAGATGTTCGCCTAGGGCGCCAGATCTGGGGAGGTGCTGCGCTGGCAGTTCTGGGAGGGAAAAAAACATTTTGACCGTTGGGGCTCATTCTAATTTTCGGCCTTGATATAACAACATTCATAATTAAGTAAATGTAACACCCTTTTCACCCCGGTTACACGTTTCATTTGCCCTGTACGATGGGCGCTGTAAGTGATGAAAATGGGGGATGTTGGCTTATCTGGCGCCCGCAGCTCACAGCCAAAATGCGAGGGAGAGAGGGAGAGAGGGAGGGTGCACCGGTACCAGCGCTGTTGTTATTAGAATCTGGTGCCGTGCTAGCTGCTCTAACGGATATAAGAAGAAGATGTTTTTACAATAATGTGGAGGGAGAGTCCTCTCCAGTCAGACTGAGAGGCTGATAAGTTAACTACAGCTCAGTGAGGTAAAGGACTCTTGAGTGTTTAGATAGTTCACTTTAGTCTAAGTTCAAACGGTTTGGTCGCAATTTATGTAAACACATATTTCCAAGGCACTCCTTTATAATTATTGGGATAAACAGGTTTGAAATCATTCCAATGTATACTATAGGACAGTAACCAAAAATATCCTTTAAAACTGGAGAGATAAACAAATGCATAAATAAATAAATGTTAAGGTAAAATAAGATATGAATGAACAACACAAATAAAATAAGTTACATTCATTTGTTATTGGCTATGGTAGGTTATTGGTTATGTTCACATACTTATTTGATTACATCCACTTGTCTAAGATGACAACAGAGACTTTCGACCCAAACCCAGCTGTTGACTTGTGGATGCAAGCAGCTAATCGCAGACTCAACCAGAGAGAAAAAAGTAGGCCTACATCATCAGCTACCATGTCTGACAGAGAGGAAGACAGAGAGGAGAACAGTCAGGAGGGTAGTGATGACAGCTTGTAGGATTACTGGTCGTGCTAATGTTGTCTTGTGTTCACCTCTGCATGTGTGTTCTGTGTTCACCTCTGCATGTGTGTTCTGTGTTCACCTCTGCATGTGTGTTCTGTGTTCACCTCTGCATGTGTGTTCTGTGTTCACCTCTGCATGTGTGTTCTGTGTTCACCTCTGCATGTGTGTTCAGTGCCGTGTGTCTGGCAAATAAAGTCAAGACCCCCTCAAAAGTTACGGTTTATTTCATTTTAAGGATGAGCACCAAGCAACATCTCCAGGTGCTCCTTTGAGAACCAGGGCAAAAAAGTTATGTGCACCCCTGAATATAACGTTGGAGAACACAAGAGTTGCTGATCTATCATCAGTAGTTGGTGTTTTTCTACATGTAAATGCTAGAAGCTTACTGCCAAAAATGTATAAAAGTACTCGTTCACAGCTCAAATCCGGAGGTACTTCTCATCACTGAGTCTTGGCTGAAGAAGAATATCCCAGACTCTGACATCGCTGGTTATAATGTGTTTAGGCAGGATAGATCATCTAACGCAGGTGGAGTAGTTATATTCACAAAGGAACACCTCCAGTGTTCTATCGCCACTAGTAAATCTGTCCCCAAACAATTTGACCTACTTATCGTAAACATTAAACTAGCAAATAGCTCTACACTGACAGTCGCTGGCTGCTATCGCCCACCCTCTGCCCCAGCATGTACCCTACCTGCTCTCAGCACCCTCCTGGCACCCCACACTCATTCTGAGTTTGTGCTTCTGGGGGATCTAAACTGGGACATGCTCAACCCTCCTGCGCAGGTCCAAAAACAATGGGACTCTCTTAATCTCTCGCAGATTATCCTTACTCCTACACGGTATGACACCAAAAATCCAGAAAAAGCCACCCTCCTTGATGTCATCCTCACAAATAACCCTGACAGGTACAAAACTGGCGTCTTCTGTAGCGATCTCGGTGACCACTGTCTTATTGGCTGCATTCGTAATGGCGGCACAATTAAACAGCCACTCCTTACCACTCACAGACGAATACTGAAACATTTCGACGAACAAGCCTTCCTCTACGACCTGGCTGCTATCAAGTGGGACAGAATTAGCTTGCTCCCTGACATCGATGCTGCATGGTCCTTCTTGTATGACTCCTTTGGTATGGTAATCAATAAACACGCTCCCATAAAGAAAATGAGGATAAAAAACCGATGCAGTCCTTGGTTGAACCGAGATTTAGCTGAACTGCTTCACCTCAAGAACTCCACCTGGCGCAGGGCTCGTCACTCAAAATCCCACGACAATTGGCTATCATTCGGAAAATCAGAAAAGGTTGGTTACTTCCATAATCAATTCAACCTCTGTGGATCCAATCCAAGGACATTCTGGAAAACAGTGAAAGAGATGGAGAATAAACCCCCATCCTCTCATCTCCCTAACTCCCTCGTTATTGAGGATACAGTAGTCACCGGTAATGAACGCATAGCAGAGCTCTTTAACCAGCACTTTGTTAAATGTGGGAACCTATTTGACGCTATAGCGCCTCCTAAGCCCCCCACCAACAGTCCGCCACCGAGCCCCTCTAGCGCAGCCCCATGTCACAGCTTCTGCCTGCAGGAAGTTAGTGAGAACGATGTGCTGGAGGTCCTTGGTAAACTTGACCCCAACAAACCTGCGGGTCTTGATGGGCTAGACCCCCTCTTTTTTTTAAAGTTGCAGCCCCAATTATTGCAGAAACTATCTCCCACCTTTGTAATCTGTCCATGCAGACAGCAGTGCTACCTTCTGCCTGGAAGGCAGCCTCAGTGCAACCTTTGTTTAAAGGGGGAAACCATGCTGACCCCAACTGCTATCGTCCAATATCCATTCTACCCTGTATAGCGAAAGTGTTAGAAAAGTTAGTTTGCAAACTAACATGGTTTCTGAAGGCTTACAACATACTATCTGACATGCAGTCTGGGTTCCGTGCAGGTCATGGGTCTGAGACGGCGACTCTTAAAGTCCTAAATGATATCATCAATGCCCTTGACTCCAGACAATACTGTGCTGCCATTTTCATCGATCTTGCCAAAGCCTTCGACACTGTAGATCACCAACTGCTTCTGGGGAAGCTAGACTCAGCTTTCTATATAGGAATCGCTCCTCATTCACTTCATCTGTTAAACTCTCTCTGGTCCAGATGACTGTCCTTCCTCTGTTCGACTACGGCGATACCATCTACCGCTCGGCGTGTAAAGGAGCTCTCGATCATTTAGACATTCTGTATCACTCCGCCATCTGCTTCGCCACCAATGCCCCCTACAGGACACACCACTGTGACCTGTACTCTCTGGCTAACTGGCCCTCTCTTGAGACCAGGCGCAACATCCACTGGCTGTTGTTTGTTTACAAAACACTCCTAGGCCTCACCCCCTTCTACCTGACATAATTACTGCAACTCCGCCCACCCCCGACGCACAACACCCGGTCAGCTACTGTCTGTCTGTTACTACTATTTTTAAATTGTTAGGTCAGATCCACTAAAGTCACACAATAACAAAAACCAGTTATCCGAGCGAATCAGTGGTAAAGCAGTGTGGTGGCTTTAAAAATAGAGCATAGCACAATAGATATTGCCAAATGATTGCCAATAAACAGCCAATTGATGGATGAGTACCTCATAAACCCCTACTTTAAAATCTTAATGTAAGGTAAAACTGATGAAGGCCTACCACTTTCTCTGGACAGTTGACACGGGGGACTCTGAGCTGGTACTCTGCTGGGGGAGGGATGGGGGTGGTCAGTGTGGGCGGCTGCTGGGTGGGCTTCGGCCTCTCTTTGGGTGCCACAGCAGCTGTGGACGGAGGGACTGTGACCCCAGCCGCTGCGGCTGCTGCTGAAACTACAACAGGAGCTGCTGTCTGAGCTACAGCGGCTGACACGGTGGTGGTTGTGGAGCTTGGGGGGCTGTCGCTGGTGGAAGCCTCGCCCTCGCCCTCAACACGACTCCCCACAGCGGGCTGAGGTATGTTGGGGTTACTGTTCCCCCCCAGGCTGCCCGTGCTGCTGCGACGGTCCTCAGCACCTTCAGGGTTGGAGCGCGTCCGAGGGCGAAGCTCCACCACGTGCTCCTCTCCATCGGCTGGACCCGGCTCTGGTGTCTCCATAGATACTCAGGTTGCTAAGGAATGCAAATAATGACTTTGATTGGTTGGCAGGTTTGATCAGTCATGACAAGAACCTGTTATCTCACCTAATATGAAATGTCAAGTCACACACACACTAGAGAAATGCAATCACCCAGTTCAACACTGGACTGTGTTGTGTTCATGTCTGTATGCTTTAACACGGTCATGTGTTCTTAGGTAGGAGTTTTAATGTATGATTGTTATGTTAGTTGTTGCACCAATTAAAATTATTTTGACTATCAACAGGGACTGCATCAGTCAAGAAACATAAATAAAATGTCAATACATGTAAATAAATATGTAAAACACATCTATTTAGAAAATAGAAAGATGTGTTTTTTTAGGCAGAAACAGTTCAAATATAGTCCAAAGAGTGTGCGAAAGTTCACAGTACAATATAAAGATGATATTCGCAACTATTTACCAAGAGAATGATCCAAAAATGTGCGTTAAAGTAATTGTCATCCACAGATACGATTCAAATGCACGGTCCACCTTATGCCTACTTCCTAAATATATATATTACCAATATCGAAAGTCCAATCTATAAATGTCTTGAAATGCTAAAGGATGAAAACAAGAGCTATGTATACAGTTTAACACAGGTCGTACACTGGGTAAAGTAAAGCTGGATGAATCGGAGACTTTCCCCCACTGTCAATAATAACTTTATAGTCTGTGAGTCTGGTGGTATGAACGAAAGGTGCAACGTGTAGCTAACCGGAATAATACATACTTTTAGCTGTATGATGATGGATAGTTTATTTAGAAATGCATCAATGAATGCGTCAGAGAGAGTGAGTCCATTCAAGCTAACACAGGTGATGTGTGGTGACAGAGCAATGTGAGCTGTTAGCACTAGCTTCAGGATAATTACGAGTCGAGACAAATCAAATGTTACATGTTAAGATGTTCCGAGAGACTTACGTGATAGGTAACTGTGAAACGTTCAGGATTCAAATAGAGTGAAAGTCATTGAAAGTTGTACAATATTTCAACGCCGAGCTAACATTTGTTTTGATCGGACTACTTCCTTACCGAAAATGACCAAATCCGGAACTGCGAAATAGCACTGAATTATGGGTAATGGAGTTTAATGTGAAGGTTATAGCTTTCTTCCTACTTATCTTCCTCTTTTCCTTTTCAATATAGTGGTAATTTAAGTCGTAAAACCCCGATTTCAGCAGTAATAAAATGTAACAAAAAAAGACAAAATGTGTCTTAAGTGCACTTAAGTTTGTGTCATGGTCGAAATTGATCATAACTTCATGCATTTTTCAAATTGCACAACATCGTAGTACATACTCCATTTTGCAGAACAGTTACAGCATGTATCAGAGTTTACTCACTGGTGACTATAAAAGAAGCATTGAAGCTAAACGTGGACAAAACAGGAAAGGACACAAAGTGACGGGGAATGGGTGGGGATGTTTTTCTGAGTGTTTTCCACTTACTTCATTCATCACACTAAACGCTGTTAGGCAGACACTCGGAGGGCAGACTGCAGCAGTGACTAACTAACTACTGGAAAATAAACACACAGGCTGTGAACAAATTCATCAGGAACAAAATCCCTGCCGCAGACATCAGGCTTACCACAATGGAGGTAATGTATGATTAAGTTTCTCTGAAAAATAGGTCACTAATGATAAAAGGTTTTTGACTTTTTAGTATTGTATGTTAACTGGGTACATTTGACAATTGGATGTAGAGAACCTCAGACCTGTCTTCTGTGAAATGGTTTGCTAAGATGGTGCACTTTGTCTTCAAACAAGATCTCCAAAACTGAATAATTAGACAGAATTGCAGGAGTTTGCATTAACCATCGACTATTGTGTTCATGGAGCAGTATATATAGTATTGCTGCATGGCATCAATTTATCATATACATTACATTATGAATTTTAGCCTCTGAATTGTACATGTGAGTGTTTCTCTGGACGCCTATTTGAGGTGCCTCTTTGCTGTTTGCCCAGTGCATGCTTGGATATCCTTCCTGTGACTGTGAATAGGAAGCGGTGGGTATAGTGGATGTATTACTGGCTGGATAAGGAATCTAAAGTATGTTGCCAACAACCACTTGCACAATATGTGTTAAAATGCACACAATCAAAACACAAGTGTTACAAAGTTTACCATGTTGACAGATGTATAGGCATCATATATACTTTAAAGCAGATTAGTTTAGCCAACATTCTTTGTGCAAAACTAAATATGGTTTGGTCTACACATATTTTCTAGACAGGAAGTTTGATCTCAGGATGTTTTAGTTTCCTCCTTTTCCGCTGCTCGAAACAATAGCCACTAAACAGTTCAGCAACAATCTCTTGTTCAATAGCATAACACATGATGATTATCAACCTGCAGCAAGAACAAACACTTTATGTGTTTTATATTGGGACACATTACTATACAACTGCAGGGAAAAAGGAAGCCATTTGCTGCAGTAAAAAGCTAAATGAATGCCTTAAATAAGGTTGTTTTATTTGATATCCAAATACCACTTCATGTGTCTGCAGGATTCCTGCCTGCGTCGATGTTACAGCCTGGATGCTGGGTCAGTGTGTGACAGGGAGGTGTTGACCCTGAACCAACATGCGACCTTTGACCCTGAGGGCTCTGACCCCACAGCAAACCTGGACCCTTCCCCAGCTGAACTGGCTCAGTGTGAGGCAGAAGTCGGCACGCTGCTCAGCATCATTGCAGAACTGAACAAGAAGATGGGGTCATTAAAGGCACCAAGGTCAGTGAAGAGAGTAATTACATATGCAATTTCTCAAGGCTTGTCACGTATGAAAGCCACAACATTGATCTGAGTAAATGGATTTGGTTTCACTCCCAATAAATGTTTTGTTGGAGCCATGTTTGTCTTTACATATTTTCCCATCAATAAATAATATATTGGTCTGCTCGATTGTCTCAAAAATAAACACAAGGGTATTTGTTAGTAGAAATGTTAATGCTGATGGTATTCTTCAGTGAGCCAGGAGACCTGAGACCACCAGGACCCTCGAGGCCTCTGGTTCCAGACCTCCTGTCCCACAGGCTGTCCAGAGGCTTCCCAGAGAGGAACATCACCTCTGCTTCCACATCCAAACCTCCACGGACCGACCGAGGTAGCATCGACACAGCGAACATAACTCTGGGTTTATTCAGGCACAGATAGCTTTTGACAAAATGTGCAATAGGAATCTGTGTTGAATTGGCAAGGATTATTTGATTACTTTTTTGAGTACATCTAAGATACGGCAATTTTATATATTTTTGTATATATACTCATAATAAATGCATCACACATGTTGTGTGCCATATACTGTATATGGTTTGCGCCGGTGCTTTTTTATATGGGGAGATTTGAGTTGACTCAAATGCTCAATATAGAAAGCATTTAAATGTTTTGTTTTATTAAATAGAAGGAACAAAATATTAAATAAACTTAAATGTTTACGTCTGCTTTTTTTGGTGTAAAGTGAAATCAAAGTGTTCAATATTTGTATAACATATATAATTACAAAGTGATCCAAAAGTATTTAGATTAGATAACCTTTTTCTTATCAAAATAATCAAGCTACTTTCACTTTTACAAACATGATTAATTGCACCTATACTTTGCATCCACTAGGAGGCGGTGGTGTAGTGTGGACTAAACTGGAGGAGGTTTTAACGTCATTGGAGGACTCCATCAGCTGTAAGAGGTCCTGGGCGGCCCCCATCACCACTGCTGACCAGAACAAGCAAAGGGAGCATCTGAGAGCCACCCAGGAGAGCTGGGCTAGGTCCACACAGGTATCAAAACTGTGACAAACTCCCATGATTCTGCATTTAAATGTTCATTATTAAATGTGCAAATGTAGGGTGAAATGTGACACATTTGTCCAAAATCAACTTGTCATGAAGAGATATTTGGAATTCATTATCAAAGGATTAATTTAGCAGAAAGATCTGTCTTTGTTCAGGCTATCTTTAGACTACTATCAACCACTTTTTCTCACTCCTTGCAGATGTTGGAGGAGATGGAACTAGAGTTTGGGATCTCATGCCCACCAGGCCTGCCAAAGGACCAGTATCAGGAGGACATCCTGGATCTGGAGAAGAGTCAGGAGGAGCTGGAGAGGGCTCACAGCACCATCAGCCAGGTGGAGGAGGAGAAGAACAAGGTACACAGGTTTTGTCTGATAAAGAGCTTAAAGAGAAACATAAAATGCCAAAAAACATAAACCAATTCAAGAAGTGTTGGTATGTAAATGCAAACCCGTTTGTTCAAAACTATTTATGAGTTCAAAAAATAAAATAAATGTAGCACCTGTTCTCTTATCTTTCAGCTGGTTGGTCTCCAGAAGGCCTGGAGGTCAGGCTGCGGCTCTCCTCCCTATCGGCCCCCAGCAGGAACTCTCAGTCCAGACTGGGCCTCTCCTCCCTTCCCTGGTTCACCGTTACTCCACAGACGGACATCCAGAGCTGGGACGCCTCTGTCTGGGGGGGATTCTCCAGGGGGCTCTGTGAACTCATGCAGTCCTTGTCCAAGCCCTGTAAGCCAGGAGTCTGAGACAGAGCGACTGAACAGGTGCGAATCAGTCAAAGTAACAAACATCAGCCACAGCACACTGTCAACACGTATAACTACTGAGTGAGGTGTTTCAAGGACATATGGAAATTCTAAATGAATTGAAGTAAATTGGGACAGCTTTTAACAACAGTGGAACTGTCCGATATCAAAACATCTGTTTACAACTTGGGTGGTATAATCTAAGTCCCTCATACTGTATGCTCACTTCTTCCCAAACACATGCATTTTAGCTTGAACCTTAATATGTAAACTATTTCAACATAAAACAGTTCTCACCCGAGGAACGTTTCTCGAAACCTTAAGACTGTATATAAGAACATATTTTAAATAGTATGGTTCAGCGAATACGCAATATCCAATTTATTTCAATTCATCAACACGTTGATGTTCCGTCCACAGAGTAATTGATGCACACATTGTGGGTTAAGTAACTCAACAAATGCAGTAAAACAGTTTCTTCCTCGATGGAAACAGTGTGTGCTGTTTTATTGCTTTTTAACCTCATCCTCTCCTCATTACAGGTGCATTGAGAGGCTGAGGGCCAGAAATGAGCGACTGAGTGCAGCTCTGGAGCGAAGGAAGGGAGAGTCGGAGCAGATCAGTATGAAACTAAACAGACTGGAGGCGGACTGCTCTGCCCTGCAGATGGCTCTCAGATACTGGTACACACATAAAGCAAACCTGACTCACAAGTGCCAAGGACATTCAAGGACATTCAAATAAATGTGCACAGGTCAGCTATCTGACAGTAAACTAGGTTCGTATGTTGTAAAGGTCGCATTTGTTTTTGTGGTTGTGATTGACAGTGAGGAGTGTGAGGAGGCCTACAGCGAGCTCCTGTCACTTTATGACGCCAAGAAGCAGCAAAGCATTCCTCCGCAGACAGACCCAGCAGGTGTTTGAATACCGTGTTTTAATACTACTTACAACTCAGGGCACACATTCACTTATATACACAGTAGGTATGCGTGTCATTTACACGCACACACACACAGTTGTGCTCACAGTTTTTTTGTATCTCATCAGAGGCGGTCAGGGACAGGCAGCAGCCCGACACTGAGGAGCTGTCCACCTCCTTCTCGACAGCAGGAGTCCCAGAGGAAACAGAAACACAGAGAACTACTGGGCAGAGGTGACGTTTTTAAAGATCTCTTTGTGGATCGAAGCTCAAAATTAGGAATGGGTAGAAAGCAAAACATGTTACAAATGGAAATTGCAAAAAGAAGAATATTGCATACATCATTATATCCCACAACTAAAGATGTACATGCTATTAACTAAATGATTCAGTAGCTATCTGGTATGTCTTAATCAGGTGACACATTAATAAAGAACTTTCCAATATCACATTTTCAGTCACTGACTATATGTAACCCCACAGGACCCCTGATTTGGGGGTACGAGAGACTGTTCTCCGTCAGCAAATCGAGCGCCTAAAAAGGGATCGGGCTTCCATTTGTCTACCTAAGCCAAGCCCAGGAGTCGAGAGCAAAAT